AGTGCACAAGTGCACAAGATAGTCTCCTGCGTTAATTGAGAAATCACGTGGGATATCACAAGTTTATCACATGATACAGGCCTCAAAGTGATCCATGATCTCCATATAAGGAGCGGTTGTTGATCTAATTAATCCTCAGGTTACTGGGGTTGGGTTGAATCAACCCATCCCTAAGAAACGATTGTTGATTCGATTTACTCCTAGAATACTGGGGTGGGTTGAATCAACCCATCCCTAAGAAACGACTGTTTATCCGATTTACTCCTAGAATACTGGGGATGGGTTGAATCAACCCATCCCAAATCAGCCCGTATAAGGAGTGCTTGTTTTATAAATTGAGTTAAATTTTGCAGAACGCTGCAGGGATTGGTCAATCGCAAACATGAGTGTATGTGTGTGAATTTGAAAGTTGTGAACTATGCGACTCTACTCCAAATTTCATTATCAAGGTAAATAAATTTTAGGAAAGACTCAAACAAACGAAATTTAAAAATAAGGTCAAGTTTTCGATCATAATCAGTGTACAAAATATATAACATTTGGATATGAGTATTCGTACGAAAGAATCAATGGTTCATTTACACGAGTCACATTATGAAATAAGATGAACCTTCGTGCACATTCTAAGTCCACAACTTTGACACTGACTTTTGACCTTCGACAAACCGCAGACCTTCTTCTTGTAACCAGGTCCTGATGCGTCCTTTACACACTGAACACACCGACTAGGCAGACCTGGACTCACCAAGGGAAGCAATGGTGTGTTTGGGTCACGACTTGTATCATGATCCGTACTCCTCAGAAACTTAGGGTATTCGGTCTCTAAGTAGCAGTTGGTAAGGGTCCAGGTGCTAAGGCCGTGCAAGGACCTGTTCCTAATAGCAGGAATGAAGAGGGCACGGGCAAGGTCTAATGGGCTTGATAGGTGTACGTGTATATCACCGAGTTGAGTGCTTTGAAGAGAATACCATACTTTGCTGGTTTGCTCTTCATGTACTGGAGAAAACTGATGCGCTTTCTAGTCGGATACAGGCATTCATCAACTGTGAGGTATTGTTCAGGTATATTAGTGCCGTGGCGAAATTAGCTTGGCACTTTTCGTAAAACTCGCGAATTGCCGTGAACCAGTCTTTTTTCCAATGCTCTGCTCTATCGTGTCGCAACTCTTTAGTTTCAAATGTTATTTTCGTCGACAGAAAGAAGAATCTGTTCCTAGACATCACCGCAGGAAATGCTGGAAAGTCCGTCAGAAAGTGAGTAGGTAAATAGTCCGCAGATCGTCAAGGGCAGCTCCTCTCCCCGAAAGTAGATAAGGCCAATGAAAGCACACATCTCAACCTTGTCAGTTATGCTAATTATAATGTAGGTGTACTTGTTATTCATAAGAAGTTCAGGATAAGTTTTTCCATGAATTCAACGATTCGAGCGTTGGTCATGGTGTCCTTGACGTTTCAGGTTAATCTGTACATTGATGTTATTGTTGTTGTAACCCGTTCAAATAATTTACAACACCACTTGCAGTTGAAGTTAAACATTCAGACGAATTGGAGATATTTTTACTGGCTAACAATAAAACCTTTCAATAGAGGGTCGAAAAGATACATAAACTTTAGGTTGCCATTGGTTCTTCTACTAATTAACATTATTTTAACAATTTCTTGAAACATTTATTCAAATTTTCAGATTTGTCATATTGTTTCTCGTAAACTATAGGTGTTCAAGCGGTCGGCTCAAGTGTGTTGAGTTGAGTGTAAGCTTGATTGGATTAGCCATTGACGTGCATGAAAGGGTGAAGTGCTAGACCCACTATGCCGTTCACTAGGAACCTCAATTTGGTCCCAGAGCTCCTGTATCACGTGATGTGACGCAGTATACCACGTGTTCAGCTCTAATATAGGAAGCAAAATCACTAATAGGCTAGAGAGCAAAAATTGCACTAAAATGAAGCAATTTCGGCATAATTATGCTAATAGCTCTCCGGCCGATTGAAACTTGTTGATAAAAATAATATGGCTGATAGAGGAGATGATGCTGATAAAAGTCATATAAGTCAATATAAAATTGAAATTTATTAAGTAACATTTATTTGTTACTGAACGGGAGGGATGGACGAATCAACCCACCCCCAGTATGATAAGGGTTAAAATATGGCGGGATGCACGAAAAACCGGTAAATTATAACGGTCATGATTTCACTGGAAATCTTCAATTACCACAAGAAAATTGCTGATTTTTTTCGAATCTTTTAGATTTTTGGCACCATTCTTGGTTCAATTTCATGAATGAACAGCGTATAACAACAGAGTAAAAATCATCAATTAATACTATTGTCATGAAGCAAAGTGATTTGAACTTGAAGGAGGAAAATGTTATCGTTTATCTTATAGGACCAGCCTGTATTATTATAAATATAACTACTTGCATATATTTGTCTTTACGTTAGGAAGCAACTTTGAGCATATTAGGACCACACAGCTACGGGAACATCAAAAATGGACTCGGCGGTTAATATTATGACCGTTAAAAATACCGACCGTTAAAAATATGGCGGAAAGGCCCAATTACAACTGCCTATTTTTTACCGCCATAATATTAGCGGGTAAGGTATGTTCAATTAAACATCACAAAAATAGCAATAATTTTTGTTGAATTAGTTTAAAATATGCTTGGGAATTACATTATACAGGAATTTAACTGTCAACAACAGTACTACTACTAGTAAGGATATTGGCACTTTTTGTTAATTTTCACCCTTCTGGAAGACAAGAAAACGATTTCATCGATTTAATCGTTATACTAACAATGAAACTTTGAAAGCTGAATTTATTTAAAGAAATAATATGCCTGATAGTAAATACAAAGCTTCCGCTTCACTTCGCTTCACCTTTTTAGCAGTAGTATTATATATTAGTAGCATTGAATTGCAATTGTTTAGCTATGTTTAAGTTCTTCAGCCTTCAACAGTGTTTGCAACATACCTCTACAACAGTGGACACACTCAAAGGTTCCATTTTACCGTTGGTGTTATGTTCATTGAACTGCAATTTTTCTGCTATATTCAGTAGTAAATATATTGAAATTGGTGCTGAACTAATTAAGCTGAAATCCCTCCATCCGGTTTTAACTATTAGTCTCAACAAATACTGCACAAATCAGAGATCTATATCCAGTACTGGCAGCACCAGTATTTATTTTTAATTTTATGAGCTGCTGCCAGCGAGGCTGATTAAATCTCGTAATTCTAATACTCAGTTAATTGGAAGATAATTGCCCATTAACAAGTGACCGAATAGCGGCTTCAGAAAGTCAGAACAGGTAGAATTATTAAGACGCTGCGTGTAGGAATGTGTGTTCTAATTAGTTTCTGTTACTGTTGTCCTATCATTGGTGTTCCAGTGTCACCGTGTACTGTGAGATAATGTTACCAGAATTAGGGTGTTCAGAGCATTTACCTCGTCACGCTGTTTTCAATGTTTATTCTAATTTTTATTAGGTAGATTGAGTTTCTCGTCTGTCTTTTCTCTACATTCCTTCTTAAATAGATTTGTACATTGTACAGCGCATTGGCTTGATCTTGATCCAGGTTAGTCGTAATTGATCAAATTGAGATTGTTTGTTGTTATTGAAAGTCGTTTCGTTCGTTAAAGCTTGTTTTTAGCTTGTTTCAGTTATGAAACGTAGTCGTCATAAAGCAGGCGGTATAAATAGAACATATGCAATTGATAACATATATTATCAAATTATCTAAGATATTATGCTAGCTACTGCTAGTAGCTACTTGCGAACCAATAGCGCGCAATGTGTCGACTCTGAAACCCATGAAAATTGTCGGCTTATTTGGAGATGTTTACGAGAACGTTAAACTAATTAGCAAGTAATTAGGCGCTAATTACTCTAGTTTTCGAGATCTTCTTCCTGTGGGAACCGTTTGTGAGCTTCTTACGATATATCACGTAGTTTGTAATGAATTGTATTCTAACAAGTGTGGAACAGTGTCATGTGATTAGTGTATGGGTTCCTTCTAAACACGACAAGTTTTTAGTTTTTAAGTTTTTAGCCTATGGTATACTTTTTACGATACCTGCGATATATCATACCATGTTTTTCTGTTACGTAACTTACAATTAATCTCGCTACCTTTCTTATGTGTTGAAAAGTCTTGAGCTATTGCAGTTGACACGCCCAGAAATAGTCGACTTTAGTCCTAACTCTAATCACGACTGGTAGAAGTCTTTACTACATTTGTGACAGAAACAAAACGAACCTTCTGTTGATTTAATCACGGACAGCTTGTTATTTCGTTACGTGTTTGTTACTGTGTACGAGATATTGAATTTGATATTTGATCTCCCTCAATACAACAACGTCTCCTTGACATCTTCATTTGTTTAACTTTACGGCCCCCGTACCTTATATTATATATAATATAGGATATTATATAGGGTGTACACTTTACTGATCTGTCAATCACCATTCTCTCGCTGCTTCTCTTTAAACCTACACTTTATTCGTTATTGTTTGCCTAATTTTATTTAATTTTATCTATTCAGCTGCATTTATAACAGTACTTAATAACAATTATAATAAAAATTATAATAATAATTATAATAGTTAAATGAGCTCTATCTCTACTATTGTTTAACAAAACTCGTCCGTTAGATTATATGTGAAACTGTTGTATACTCTAACCAGGAGTATGATTACTACATTGTATACGTGTTGTTATTAATAAAATATCATTAATTTAAATAGTACAATGTCATAACACATGATCCTCACCTTGACAGCACACATCATGTGCCAGCTTTCATTAGTTTTATTACTTTCCACCAATAATTCACACTTATAACCTACCAGAATAACATGTTATTATGTTAGCTGTGAGCGGCATTATGCGGTAATGTGCGCCATTACATCACACATGAACGTATTATAGCAACACATTATAACATTACATAGCACAACAATTATTATTAATGTTAAACAAGTTTCCAACCTTCAGGTAAACACTATGGATACCACGTGACCAACACAGAACAATGAAACTAGTGTAAAAGAACTCTTAGAGTCTACTGTAGTGCTAACAATACGCACTTTCTGCTTAGTAGCTCTAGTTTGTTACCAGTAACTATGCTTAATGGCAATGTTCGTCCAGTACCTTCGCAGGACGCAGGATCATTTGTACCTAACAAGAATCGTCCTTACAGCTGGACCTCCAGTACCTCCACCATCTCATCCAACTCTATCTTCAACAAGTCTGAGCCTGTGTTCCGTTTAAACGATGATCTCTCAACCCCCGTTTTCACGAGTAACAGCTCCCTCCAACTGTCGTGGAGGAACCCTCGTAATGAGATGTCAGTTACCTCCCCGGTAGAGTACAGATCCAGTTCTAGCACTATGTCCGACCACGAGACGTGGGATGAGGAGGAATCTACTGATGGGTCCCGTATCTACCCAGTTAGATCTGGTGACATGGCTACTACTTCTTTCGGGACACGTGACCCCTACTCTGTGTCCTCTGAAGAGCTAATGGACACCGTGTTCGATAGCAGGTCACCAAGGACTCTCTCTAAAACTAAGACCGGGTCAGCTGATACTTCCTGGTTAGAAGACAAATTAGCGAAGGATTTAAGCAGCATCATGCCCACTTTTGAGTTCTCCAAAACCTCGTTTAAACGTTTATCAGATCGCCCCATGTTCTCCTCTAGTTCTGATTCCGCCTCTGAGGCTAGCAGTGACGAGTCCCAGTCCATGACTTATTGTGCCTCTCCAGAGTTGGAGCCGCGTGTTCCTCGCCACTCCTGGGCCAGTAACCTCGATATCATAGACTCCGACCATGAGACCTTAGAACGGTTCAAGGGTAACGCTAACTCAAAACGACCGAAACGTGACAGATCAAGGAGCAGGAGGAACAGTTATGATAACTCATTTCGGTACAGGAAGCCGTCGTCTGAGAGAGGAACCCTGAAGAGGAACCAGAACCAAAACGAAATGCAGGACAATAAACTGACGTACCTTCGGTTTGAGAGCCAGACTAAGTTCAATTATAATGAGCGGGGTATTCCGGCTCTGAAGCGACTTATCAAGAGCAAGAGCAACTCTTCTGAGCTCATCATCGAGTAAGTTAATTTCAATTTACTTTTTAAGTGTAGGTTGCTCATGTTTTTAGCCGATATTGGATATTTCGTTTGTGGTTTCACCTTGGCAGCTATGAGCTATGTCTTGTAACTGGAATTTAACTGAATTAATTAATTATTTAATTTAAGCTTATCCTTCACATTTACACCTTGGCTGTAATTAAGCTGACGTATCATTAATTACTAATTCTGCTAATTAGCTGTACGTGCCTGGTCACTCCAAGCCTGACATGTGCTTTTAAGTTTCAAGTTCCTCTAACACAACGTTTCTTTATATCCACACTCCTCTTGGAAGCACTGCAATATCTTGTAATATTGACAGGGCTGAACTGCATACATGTAGTGAAGCGATGTGACAGCTCAGCTGGAACTGCTAGGATTTGTGTCACAGAAACAGTTCTACTGCTCTATATAATAGGGGGCGTCTGTTCAATGCAACATTTGTAGGATTTCAGCGTTGTAAGTCTACTGAGTAGTCTCGAACCCACTCTTAGGGTGGAACAGAATAACAGATCACGTGATACACGTCAAGTCGGCCATCCTTGACACATACAAACGCTAAATGTGTCAACGATTCAGTAACTCTCAATCTGTTGCTGCATTGCTGGCTTCACAGATCTAGCACAGACTTGAAGCTTTAAAATATTCAGCTGTTTTCGGAATAAATCAGCGATATTATCTTTATTTATCTAATAAATCTCCACCAGGGGTGATCGGCTGGTGGTGAAGTTCAAAAGACGTAAAGATCTGCTCTGTTCATCTGTTAAAACCCGGAAAAGGAAGGTTGTTCTCCACCTGTTGGATGTGGTAAATGTTCTGGTGTTCACTGGTAGCAACACACTTATTATTCAGGTGACAGCTCTATTACTACTTGTTTAGTGTTTTATTTCCACAGTGGTAGTGGTACTACCATTACCTTTCTTGTTATCGTGTTCCGTAAAAGCTTAATATAAACAGACTAACATCGCTCAAAGACATATAAATAAGACATTTGTTCATCACAATATGGTATCGTAGTAATTGTTACGTGAGCTCATTGAAGAAGCCACTCCTTACGATTTCAATATAAACTCTTTAGTGATTTCATTATTCTATTTATAGTTCAAAGAGAGCACCAAGACGAAGCTCCTAAAAGAGAAATCTACGCTGGACAAGCTTTCAGACACGATCAGGAGCTCCAAGTCGAACTCTCTTAGTCGGTCTATGAGATCAGCGTATTCGGATGGTAAGTACTGGTGAACTTCCTTTTCATTTTATTATATGTCGAGAGTTACGGATCGTACATACACGAGGTTCTCCCAATTTTATTCCTTATCAATCCCAGGGTTATTTTACAATTAAAAAAGTGCTATACGTGGAATAATGGAGGGTTAGCTTCGCCTCATATCATTTCTTAATAGAACATTTTACATAATTTTGTCGGGCTTGTACTTGTAGTCCAGTCAGTTAGTACCCTGGAATTCATGCCATCTCTACTATCTGACAGAGCGAGAGACTTCTCTTAATTCTAATTCATTTTACAGGCGACTCTGAGATCTCAGAACTGGAGGTTGGTAGGTTTCACAATAGCAAAGAACTCGCGGACCTTATTTTGAAGCAGAGACAATCGCTGGTTCCTAAAGGTATTCTCAAGCGAGGCGGCAGTCTAGCTGCCCGACCAGTAGAGCCTATCATGATAAAACCAGCCAAGATGGGTATATCACCCTCTCCTGCCGAGGAAATCATGGAATGTCTTACATATGTTTAGTTATTGATTTGCAAGCGTTGGATCTCCAAGTTTCCGTATCTTGAGCTCATCAGTGCAATAGGGAGCTGTATGTTTTGGGGAGGCGTCTAGCTTACTATAGATACAAGATAATGATGCTTTCACCCAATTTCCAGTAGCCACAGTTTGCTGTGTCATTGAAGTAACATTTTTATTCGATTGTTAATTTACATTGACTACTAGACTCATAGAATTGTTTAAACATTAAATCTGTTGTTATTCATATTTTGTTTGATGCATTTTTGAAGTTTTTAGCTAATATTTACGATTTCTTTATAAATGATTTATATTAGGTAATGATAGTGATCTGTTTATATGTAGATGGCGGCGATTATGATGCATACGGGCAACATTAATCGTATATTGCAATTTTTAGATATGGACTTTTAGCAATACAAAAGACACAATATCTTTAGCTTCTGCTGATTTGAGTTTGAGGATTGATTGTTAAATTTTATCTGAGATCGATTGATCTCTTTAGTGATTTATTTGGTTTTTGGTTTTACAAAAGTAAATGTTGGTCGTAAAATAAATCATTTAAAAATTCCATTCGTCACTAATTTATGGCGGAAAGTACTAAACAATTTTGTAAAATGTAATTCTTTTTGCAAAATGACCAATGTGTTACTAATAGTGATAATATTGAAGATAGGACTACTTTCTTATCAAATTTGTTTGAATCTTCTCTTAGCCAGATTCCATATCATTATCACATGTATAAAATTGTACGTTCACGTAGTTTTCGAGATAGGTGTTTTGAGAGTTAAGGACCCCATTGAAATTTCAAAACTTCGAGTACCCACCGATTTCTCAACAAATTGCCGTATATATTAATGCTTTTCAAACAAAGTTACAACGAATTCTTTATATAGTGCATCCTGGGTTTGGACAGGATATGCCCGTTTAAAATATTTCCATCACGTTAGTCGTTACATTACATAATTCTCAATAAATGTAATAGATTTGTAGTGTTGTAATTAGTTTAAAACACTTATACATACTCTTTAGTCTTTATCTATGACTATATAGGCCTACTCCCAAAATTCACCAAACCGTGAGCTTATGCGTACTTGGTACTACTGCTTGCTGCTGCCAATAATGATATTGGATGATAATTAAACACTGCTGTCTTTGGGCCGCTTTTGTATATAGGATATAGGAACAACTCCAGTTATTGTCCGGTAACATTAATATAAGTGCCTGTGGGAATACTCCCTCTTCTAGCGACTATGAAAAGGTTCCAGTCATTAAAAAATGTAATATCTTCAGCTGCTAGTTTGAGTGCACAGGCTTAAGTATCTTTGGTACGTTTGTTTTTCAACTTTTTGACAATGTCGTAAATTTCCGAGTAAGCTTGTAGGTTTATAACCTTCCACATACCAAAACGCGCGCCGAGTTGGACTCGTCGACGGTCTAGTATTTTGGAACAAATATTTTAAGAGTATCACCCGTTAAAAGTAAGCTAGCTGGTCTAATGAAAATAAAAAAGGGGAATAGGGGTCGTTTAGTGTTTAGAACAAGGAGGGCCTCGCAGCCCTTACTGGGCGGTGCTCAGCACCTGTCATTCCTTCGAGTCTCTATTCTAATTCTATATTATATGTTTATGAACATGATAGCCTGGGGTCCCCAGGTAACGCGACGTAGATTCTGTCAACATCTTTAATTTCGATTTTCACCTTAAGAATAAGATCACTCGTGATGTTAAAAAAGTGGTCGTTGAATTTCTTTGTTATTTCAGAAAAGCTCGAAACTATGCATTATGTTGCGGTTTTGATCTACGAGTTTATTTTTGGCTCTGTATGCAGTACGGAACGCTGTTGATCATTTACCACTGCTAGCGAGAGTTATTGCTGTGCTCATCGAAATACTTGTTACCTGAGCTGGGGACCCCATGCTATTATATTTATGTTCATACTCATACGAATAGAGATAAGGCGGAATGACAGGCTGAGCGCGGCCCAGTAATTGCTCTATCCAGAGCCCTTGCGCTTGCAGTAGCGCGCGCCCGCCTCACGAAACAAGCGCGCCCGAAGTGGCGCGAAAGCACATGGTTAGGTGAAGCCCAGTAAGGCAGTGGCAAAATATTTATTCCAAGACCGTCGACGAGTCCAAACTCCAAATCGGCGAGCGTTTTGGTAGGTATATGTATTAACAATTCACCTAGCCATGAGTCTACGCGTATTGCGTGACGCGTTTGTTTCACGGTCGCGCGCTACTGCAAGCGAGAGGGCTCTGGATAGAGCAATATTGTATTAGGGGGTGCACGATAAAAATAAACTTGCTCGGATTTTCAAAACTTTTGTACCATTGTTTTCTTACCTGGGGACCCCAGGCTATTATGTTCATAAACATAATAGAGATTAGGCGGAATGACAGGCTGAGCGCGGCCCAGTAATTGTTTTCTAGAGACTGTGAGAATTTTCACAGTACCAAATTTGTCATACCTTTTTGGAATTATCAGTGACTTTTGTCTAAGTGTCATATTTGATGGTGCGCGGCTTTTGGAGCAAAATTAGGTGCACAAGTTAATGGGTGGTACTCTTGACCATTGTTAATGGTCTGGCCCGGCGCGCGCTACTTCGTAGCATTTGCCGAGAAGAAAGCGGCGCGCGCTACTTCGAAGAAATTTAGACGAGTAACATCCGTCAAGTGATACTCGTAAAATATTTGTTCCAACTCGGCGCGCGTTCTAATAGGTTGTAAACCTACAAATGTAAAAGTCGCGTAATTTGACGAAATTCGTTGATTTTTGTTGTATTATTCTGTCATATCTTCGGTTCCTTGAATGAGATCATTTTGAAAATTTGTGACGACCTTCCAAGCATATTTAACTACCAAACCTATTAATAATTAGTTAGGAGAGATTGGCCTTGATATCATATAAAGAGGTCTAAAAATGACAAAATAGGTATAAATTCGCTAATAACTCAAATTCTGACCATCGAAATTGTTCAAACTAATTTAGGTTCAATTGTCAGTAAAACATAAGTGTTATAACGTAAGCTGACCAAATTTCAACAAAACTTTTATATGGGAAGTATTATAACTTTTTGACTGTTTCCGAAATAATGTGCTGACCGAAATACGAGCTAAAAACCCATTAAATGGTCAGCGCGCGCGTTTTACGGTCGATGGCGCACAGCCTAATTGTATCACGTCGTGACCCCACGGTCGTTTCACTATGGAGTTTATACGATACAGTGGGAGCCGTGCACTCGTGCGCGGCGGGTCATACAACGTATAACAAGTAACTTCGCGGCGCGTCAATTGTCGAAGCTGAAGTGGCGAAGTCCTCTTAAGTAAATAAACCTTTAAAAATGTGTTCATAAATCTTACTGTCACCAAAATTTAACTAGGTCGAACGGAGAAATTATGTCTCACGAAGGAATTAGGTCTCCCCAGGAAACCTTACTGGTAGGGCTCTAACTTTGAAAATAAAAGAGATAGAAACGTTTGGTTTTCAATAAAATGTTCGCTTTGTAAAAATTACGTTTCCTCCTCAGGAGGAAAATTTAAAACAACGTAGATTTTGAGTTATTGCGAAAAGTCTTATTTTGTGTTTTGGGCCTTATAAAAGTGCGCAGCTTTAACTTTGCGGATATTTGTTCTCTGATTGGCTGAATCGTATCACATGGTACGCGTGTGCAATTGCATCTTTGGAATGTATGACGCGTGCAAATGCAATGCACTAACGAGCGCGCGCGGGGCTCAACAAGCTGTGAAGACGCAATCACCTGAAGTAATATTGCGTGTAAGTTTACAACCTACCAGGACGCGCGCCGAGTTGGACTCGTCGACGGTCCTGGAACAAATATTTTACGAGTATCACCCGTTAAAATATTGCCAGCAAGTAAGGTCTGCTGGGTCACGCAGGCGCGTGATATATATATATAAATACTTTAAAAGCCGCGCCTGCTTGAGACCTAATTTCTGCGTGAGACCTAATTTTTCCGTTTTACCTAGTTAAATTTTGGTGACAGATATTGTAGGTTTACAACCTACCAGGACGCGCGCCGTCGTCGACGGTCCTGGAACAAATATTTTACGAGTAATACCCGTTAATGGCAGATACAGAAAGAATTATAAATTTAAACTTATTTTATTGAGTTTATATGGCAACAAATTACTTTTAAATAAAATTGAAACTATAAAATGTTAACTATGCCGCGCATATTTTCGCCAATTGACACTGTAGTCTGAAAATCGAGCGCTCAAGCAAATACTATTAAATTTTCACGAGAGTTAAGTAAGTACAGTTGGAGTACTTCAGTGTTATTGAATTTCAGAACCCCTTTGCATATATTTAATTATTGTTTCGATGTATAATTATTTGATTATCAGCTATGTTTTCATGTTATACATGTCCTCATCCACCAGTTCCCAATATTTTTTAAGATCACCAAATACTTTATTCCTCATAAGTCGACTCTATGTGTGATATATACATTGTACGTGACATAATTCATATCCTCACCATGCTTTATCGTGACTGGTTGAGACTGAATATGGAATAGGTTTCATGGTTCCTGCAGTATTCCATTAGTAGAGGCTTTTACGGGCATTGTCTGCTCGATACGCTAGGGACCCCAGATATACATTACTAGACGTATTTTTGACCGTAGAATCAATTAAAAGTGGTTTCGAGATGATTGGACTGAGTTTACGCGGGTAAAATCGCAAAAAACCGATTTTTTTGGCCAAAAATAGACCAAAAAACCATGTTTTTTGATATTTTGAGCAAGTTTATTTTGTTGGCATGTCGGCAAAATTTGCATGGCAATAGCTAAAACATAGCCGCACAAGATGATATAAAAATAAAACAAATCGCTCTGTTTTTACGCAGGTAAAAATCCAAAAAATTGGTAAAAATGTGCCCTTTTTTGCTTGAAGTTTGAATGATTTTTTGCAGTTGTATTATAAATCAACCCAACAATAGTCATATCGTGTTTGACTAAAATTTTCCTTTCCGAGAAGTACCCACTTCATATACTTTATAGAAGTTTGAATATTGTCACTCCGCAAGCGTTTTTGCCTAATTTTCGACGCGCACTACGCGCAAAAGCATTTAGTTGTTATCGATGGGCACCCGCGCGTTCATCATAAATTTCAAACAGCCATAACTCAGCGAGATTATGTCCGTTCTAGCTCATATTTTTACACCAAATAGAAAACAATGTGATCGTATTGCTGACATAACATGAAGGAAAGAAAAATTTTTAAGGAAAGAAAAATTTTTATTTACCACAAAACAATCAATACATAATGTTATATTAATAAATAAATTCAAATTTCAATTTCAAACACATATATAGTACGCCGCGCACACAGCCACAATTTTCAATTGTTCAGAAATTCGTAGGTCAGCTGTAGGCGCCGCGCACAGGATCTATTTAATTGTTATCTTACAATTACATGTCGCATTTCTTAATTACTAGAGCCAAAATTTCAGAAGCAAAATAATTTAAAACATATTTCTGTCGTTCACGCAGTACAGGCCGTGAGCACTGCGATCTAATTAATAGATCGAATAATAATAATGGAGAAATTCCAAAAACCGCGCGCTCGTTATTTGTGATTAAATTGAGTGCGCGCCTCTGTGAACAGCAGTACCGCTCAAGCATGAAGTACTAAGCGGTACGCAGTTCTGCGTGAGGCGTAGACATTTGTAGCACACGTTTCATTCAACTAATCAATTATGTGACATGTAATTATATTAAAGCAAAAAGAATATTAATTTTAGTAATAATTGACGTAAACATATGTGTTTAAATAACATTTATAATCTAGCTAGTTACCAATAATATAATACTATTTGTTTGTATTATTGATTATATATGTTTACACTAGCCTATATTATGATGAAGATATACATTATATAATTGTTCCAATATTCAACACTGCTAAACAACAAATACCTACTCGCCCATCGATGAAGCAGTCGCCAAAACAAAGCTCAAAGTTAATATACCTTCGTACTTCGTTTTGGAAACTGTAGAATGCCAGTAAATAATTAGTGTTTCAATCGTGTATTCGATGGGCAAGCACTCGCCACTCGAGGCCGAGACAAACGGCACCGGCTCCGCCCTGCAACCATGAAGTAATGTAAGCAGTAAGGCGGGGCGGTGGTGTGCGCCGTTTATACGGCCCACAGCACGAGACATTTTGAGCTCCAAGACTTATATTAAGACTATAAAAGTCCCGAGTTAAACGTAGCGACTTACCATCGTCAGCCGTCAAAAATTTAGAATTTGTATGTTATAAACTCTACATCTGATATCAGTATAACATGTAATTTAGTTTGTTATTGGCTAAATTTTTTTTTGAATATAATTACTTTATAGGCCTAAGAGTTATAGACTGTCAAAGTTTAAAACGCGCATTGGAATAGCACGTGACTTATAAGGCTATATTTATATTTCTTAACATATTCTCGATCCTTACACATCATACTATTGTGTCCAATTAATAGTTAGGTCTCTAAACTCATAGCAGAAAACACGTCTTTTTGCCCGTAAGAGCCTCTACTACATTGTTGCAGATGTAAGATTTGATGGAATTGGATTAACATAATTATTGAATGAATCTTCGGCCATTTCGAATTATTTGAGTTTCTATTTTAAATCTTTTCGAAGTTGTTCTATGCTGATTGCACCATTTTCAATTTTGATCATTCAATATAATCATTTAGCTTTTCTTTTAATTTGATCGGGGACTTCAATATGATCCATGGAGGTACAGGCCTTGACTGAATCTCGAGACTAATTTGGGAACCTGAACTGAAGTCCCCTATAGTTACAGTAGGGGATGTAATACTGTAATATAATAGTAGTCACGTAGCAATATTTAAAGATTTAAAGGGGAAATATTTATGTAATAATAACGAACAAGGAGCATCCATCTTGCTGTCCACACCCCCCCCCCCCCCTCAAAGCATGTCAAACAAGAATTCTCGCCGCCCTCTCACTCTCCTTATTAATCTTAGATAAACTTAAAAGATTCGGCGATCTATAAGTTGTCTTCTCCTTTCGGATCTTTTGAATGGGTTACTTTTATAGGTTGGAGAGTTTTTACCCAATGACCATGTAGCAGTCATATATTAGGCAATTTATGCCACTTCTAATTCTCTTGAAAGATGTTGATAAGACATCAACAACTGTAGACCATCAAATTCGATGCTCCAAAATTCATAAACCAAAGAAGTCTTGCTGCTGTTTTAATTGTAGCATTTGCTTACCTGTTGAGAATAAAATGCACAACTTGTTGAAGTATTTGAAATTAATATGCATTGTCAGCTTGACTGCACAATGTTTTTCTTATTATTCTAGAGCATTTTCCTGCTCAAAAGGTATATAAAGTACACTTTATCCATAAAATCCAAGAAAATTCATGTCCAGTTAAAAAACGCATTAGATTGGTTTAAATTAAAATAATCAGTGCAAGTGTGCAAATGGCATTAGGGCTTTCTAAATTGCACTATTGTATCCAATGGTTGTAATTATGACCTGCTGTTTGAGACTGATTTGCCTTATGGAACGCGAACTCTTAACAATTCACTACAGGCCAAGCTGCATATTATTGAATTAAGAAAAACAAAATTTTTATTAAACTATTCAGCATGTCAAATTGTATATTGAATCAGTTCTGATCCGACTGTTACTGCCCAGGTTTTTCACGATGGTTCAGCCAAAGAAGCTTGACAGCCGAATACACAAAGTCATTCAGGAGTCAGTTAAAAATGGCCACAGAGGTTTGGTTGTTCTTGTGGGAGAAAGATCACGTGACCAAGTTGTTATCCTTCACCACTTGTTGAGTAAAGCTAATGTGTCTGCACGGCCATCTGTTTTGTGGTGCTACAAACATGATTTAGGCTTCACAACTCACAAGAAAAAGCGCCTAAAGATGATAAAGAAAAAGATCAGAGCAGGCACACTTGATCCAAACACGGATGACACTTTTGAAATGTTTATTTCTGCTACTGAGATAAGGTACATGTACTATAGTGAGAGTCACAACGTACTTGGGAACACTTATGGGATGTGCATACTTCAAGACTTTGAGGCCATCACTCCTAATGTTCTTGCAAGAACAATCGAAACTGTTCAAGGTGGTGGACTGATAGTTATTGTTCTCAACTCCGTTAGTGATATCAAGCAGTTGTATGACTTGCAAATGGACTGCCACAACAGATTTGTCACTAATGCTTACCAGACAGTTGTTCCAAGATTCAATAAAAGGTTTTTACTTTCCCTTACTGAATGTTCCAGCGGTATCGTCCTTTCAGATGCACTTGAAGTTCTACCTTTCACAGCTAAGAGTGCAACAAACCATGTGGCTAAAAACAACACTGCAGAAGAGCTCGCAAATCTTAAAACATCGCTGTCTGAAAGTCAACCCATTGGTTCTGTCATAAACATTTGTAAAAGTTTGGATCAAGCAAATGCCCTTGTTAAATTTGTTGATGTCATATCTGAGAAAAGTTTAAAGTCAGTCATCACCTTAACTGCATCCAGAGGAAGAGGAAAAAGCGCTGCTTTGGGGCTGGCAATTGCCACAAGTATTGCATTTGGTTACTCAAATATATTTGTGACATCACCGTCTCCTGATAACCTAAAAACATTGTTTGAGTTTGTGCTGAAAGGTTTCGATATCCTTGGCTTCACAGAACATACAGATTATGAAATTATTCAAAACACTAATGACAACATCAAATCAGTTGTAAGAATAAACATCTACAGGGATCACAGGCAAACTATTCAATACATTAAACCAGATGAGGGCGGAAAACTTCTTCAAGCTGAACTTCTTGTTATTGACGAAGCAGGAGCAATACCTTTACATCTGGTGAAACAGATGTTAGGCCCTTATTTGGTGTTACTGTCATCAACAGTTCACGGATATGAAGGAACAGGAAGATCATTATCACTGAAACTATTTGAGGAACTGAGAATTCAGTCTACTAGGGTCGGAGGAACTAGCTTAACACAGCTAAAGCTAGAGGAGCCCATTCGTTACAAGGAAGGAGATCCCGTCGAATCTTGGCTTAATAAACTCTTATGTTTGGATGCTAGCCCTCGGATTATATCTGGATGTCCAACTCCAAAAGAATGCTCCCTATATTTTGTTGACAAAGACATTTTGTTTAGTTACCATAAGGCATCTGAGTCATTCCTTCAAAGAATAATGACTCTTTATGTGTCCAGCCATTATAAGAACTCTCCAAATGATCTGCAGCTGCTGTCAGATGCCCCTGCACATCAACTGCTGGTTCTCTTAGGACCTATTGATAGCAACTCCTCACAGCTTCCAGAAGTTTTGTGTGTACTGCAAATCTGTTTTGAAGGCCAAATAAACCGACAAATTGTAATTTCACAGCTAGAGCAAGGTCACAGGTCAGCTGGTGATCTTATACCTTGGACCATTTGCCAGCAGTTCCAAGATGCCAACTTTGGGGAGCTCTCTGGAATTAGAATTGTGCGGATAGCAACACACCCTGACTTTCAAAGTATGGGTTATGGAAAACATGCTATGAACTTACTTTCTCGGTATTACAAAGGTGAGATAGCTACCAGTGAAAAGAAAGAGGGTTCAACCCTACTGATTGGGCTAAATGAACGAACACCTGAAGCAATGGATTACATTGGAGTGAGTTATGGAATGACACCACCTCTCCTCAAATTCTGGAAAAGGTTGGGTTTCAGAGGTTTATATCTGAGACAGACACCTAACGATATCACTGGTGAACACACGTGTATCATGGTACAGGATTGGGAGCAAAGCTGGCTGAAAGAGTATCACAAAGATTTCACATTCCGTCTCTTAAATCTACTTGGTTATCAGTTCAGAAAGCTACCCCCTCAGACAGTGCTTAATATGATAAACACTGCTGAGGTGCTGAACACTGTTGATGCTACCTCCAGTACTGCTTTTTCTGCAATCAGTAAATACGATTTCAGAAGACTTAAGAGCTACTCGGACAATCTCACTGATTACCACATTATTCTAGATTTGGTTCCTACCATTACCAAACTTTACTTCCAGGGGAAAATGAACCTCAACTTGTCGCCTTTACAAGCAACTATTCTCATATCTCTTGGACTTCAGTACAAAACTATTGATGAAACCAGTATTATCTTTCCTGATTTAGAAACAAACCAAATCCTCGGCATCTTCAAGAAGATAATTAAGAAAACTGTTGGGTATATGGAGGGGATCATGAAGGCAGAGATTGACTCTGAAATCAAAGACGCTCCATCCAAGGTAGTTCTGAATGGTATTGAGGGCTCTATGCGGGATGAACTAAACAAAGTGGAAAGTGAATTCAAAGAGAAACAGAAAGAGAATGCTGAGAAAGTGAAGGATTTGATTAAGGCAGATGATGCAGAGTTCTCTATCAAATCTAATGATTTTGGTGATGATGTCAAACTTACTGGCAACACGATTGTTTCCATTAAAAGAACTATTGTGGCAGAAACTCCTTCAATTGAGAAATCAGGTAAGAAGAAGAAGAGGAAAAGTGAGGGTCCCGAGAAGACGAAAAAGAAGAAAAAGCAACCGATAAGCTGATCTTTTTCACAGCATTATTGTTTTTAAACATTTTGTAGCTTATTATACTTTTACTGCAGATTGCTTCAATTTTTAGTTTTGACAGGGAGATTATTTTAACTAACTTATTCATCTTTTTACCGAATCAGTATTTAACTTATTCAACCTTTACTCATGACGTTTTATTACCTACTTAGTGGCTTCAAAAAACTAACAATAAATCAGTAATTCAAAATCACCATAAACTATTCGATAATTCAAGCTGGAAATCAATTTTAAATTTTTATAATTACTCTTTTTTAATCCTATCGTTAATTAAGTTATTATTGTCAGCTACTATGATGGCAAAGAGGCTGGTAGCAATGATATGAAATTCCTTCTGTGCTCTCCAGATGTCCTCGCTCTCCTCCTCTGGCACTAACCATGAAATATTCATTGTGAGTTCAATTGTTAGTATGTTTGCATATTTTGCATATGTTTGCCTGTCCTTCTATACAATTCGAATAAAAACATGATAACAAGATGAGGTGACAGTGAATTGCAAGTAGGATGCCCATTGTCCACCTGAAGTTAATATTAACATCTACAGTACGACAATGCAGAAGAAGAGGCAGTGAATGGTTTTGTAGCAGGACTAGCTGGCTCAGCTCTACATGATGAGAGTGATGTGAACTTGTCTGGTATTACCAGCAAGAAGAGAACTATTCGCCTCAGTGCCAACTCTGGGTCCTACGAGGTGTGTTTTAGCTACTGTGTATCTGTAATTTGTCTTCACTTGTGTAGATAATGGTAAATTTCGTCCTGTCCCAGAATGGCCTGCCCCAGGATAGCGTGCCCCAGATTGTTGTAATCCGAACCTCGTGCCCTAGTTAGATAAGGATCACCACATTTAAAGCAATTTGTTTACTGAAAAATCTTTTATCTTACAGGAGTCAGACTACAGGATATCACAGCATCCCTCAATAACAGAAGAGGTAACAAGTGACTCGGATATAAGACTTGATGATCAGGACTCGGAACTATTCGAGATGAGAGTCAGTAATGATTCTCATTATCCCGAGAGATTCTCACTTCTGAATCTCAGTGGTATGAACTTTAGTTATATTTTTATTTGTTTTTGTTAGGGTTTCTTGTTTCTTGTTTCTGTCAAGGTAATTGAAATTTCAGGCAGATTCGGTTTTTTGGACAAAATATAACTTAAACTTTACATTTTCAGAGGTATCGAAGGAAGACCCGGAAGCTACCCTGGAAGATACTAACTGCTCCACACTTGATGCTTCATTAGATCACAACACGTTAGAGGTCGTTATAGACCAGGATAGGGAGAGGGAAGAAGAGAGCATGGACTCAGTTTTCTCTCCTGTACATAGGTAACTACTAACTAACTAACTTACTAATACTAAGTAACTAAGTAGATCATAGGTACAAATACTAACTAAGTAAATCATCTGAACATTAGCTCTCAATTCTCCCTAAAGACAAGATTATTCATACTTAATTATCGAGGATTGAGAAATTAATTCTGCGTACATAATATCTTGAAAGAGTCTAGTTGACACTTGACCCTTACATAAAATTCTATTTGTAGACATTTTACCCAGTGTATCATTTTCAGCAGCAGTTTTGGTGACTTTCAAAAGAAAAAGGAAAGCAGATGTGGTTCAGATTCCAGGTACACACTTTATACTTTTAGGCCCTTAGGCCTTATTTGAGCAATGTTCACTCTTCTACTTATAATTTGAGCCGCTCTCAGATGCACACTTCCCACACTTTTATCAGTTTATTGCTAGCATCTGTTGATGAGTTGATGATTCATGATGGTGTAATAACTACGTAAAATCGTTATCCTAATTTATGTTGAAGGTTCCGTACAGACTCAACTCTGCACCCGTGTCAATATGTTCATTATATGCAAGCCTCTTGATTTATAACCTATAATCATGGACCATGGTAATAACCATCTCCTTAGTATCGATAGTTTTGGAGATTTCGACGACTCGGGACCATGGGTAGCCCAACCTGCTGAAACAAACACTGAAGTGTCGTCATCAGAGGATATGACTTCATTCGTGACGTCATCATTCGTGACGTCATCAGAAGACTTGCCACGTGACCTGATAGCCCCCGTTACTGAGCAGTGTTACGAGCCCCTCTCCCCGACTAGTCTTATACTACACTCTAGTCCTAAGAAATTACTGGACAGCAACTTTGTCTGGTCTCAGGTTAGAATATACTTCTAGGAGGAGTCGGTTAAGTTTCCTGATGTTTGATTCCGAAAACATATTATGAAGGTTTTTTTTTTGCAAGATTCAGTTCCATTTTGATCATGTGATGTGTTACATTGTGTTATATGGTTATATTGTTATATTGCTATATTGTTACAGGCACGGAGCAACGTGACTAAACCTTCCTACACGTGGGACAAACTAAAGCTTCACTCGTATCTTCTAGGAGCCTTATCTGTGAGACAGCCTATCAGTTTGAACAGACTCAAACCTGCCGGTACTTATTAGAAACCCTCTCTTTTGGCTTTTCAACATTCCAAATTAAAATCGACATTATATAATATTTTCCCCATCTCTTATGCTCGGTTATGTGGACCCCCTCCCCAGGCTCAGTGACGACCCCAAAGAAGATGAGCTCTAAATCAGGAAGTGTCTCTGTAACAAGCTCCTCATCTCACTCCTCCAACAGTACCCTAGACAGTCCTGCCTCCTCAGTGTCTCCTAGTGAGGTGTCCTCTGTGTCTCCTAGTGAGGTGTCCTCTGTGTCTCCTAGTGAGGTGGAGCTGGGGGAACTGCCTGGTGCAGAAGATGTTAGTATTATATTGAGCCCGTGATAAATCAAACTATCATGAATGCATCGCCCTATCTAATAATTTTCTAAGAAACAGCACAAAGGAGTACAACGTGATATTGATATATTGTAAATTTAGATTTAAATATGATTGTATGAGTTTCAGAGTCTGTCAGAAGTAGAGGGTTGGAATAGTGATGTCTCAAGTCCTGACATTCCGAGCATGTCTATTGAACATAACAGTCGCCCTTCTTTTACCAGTCGTATACAACAGAAGTGAGTGATCTTAATAATACAGGGTGGCCCAAAAGTAACTGCCCACACGCAACCCTTTAATAACTGTAGTCGATAATATTCCTCGTTAGTTTATTAATCATATTCTCTTGTTTAGTTTGAACTTAGATATAAAAGTAGAAATCTTTCTCCGGTCAGCAATTTAGATCACATAGCTTGTACAGTGTACACCTCATATTCCAAACAGTTTGATTCCAGGAAGTGTAAGATTTAATAACCCTTCTAAATATCACAAATTAGCTCCATAAATTAGAGCGGTTCTAACATAATTCCTCGAACAGGAAATTCAAATATTAGTATAATTCAGGGTGCCGATTATAATGATCGCACTAATCCCCCCACCCATTAAACCACCCCCTCTCCCGGCTCCCACCACCACGTACAACGTGTAATTACCAGTGTAACACGTGTGTAATTGCCCTGATAACTGTACTACACAGATATTGTACATTGTGCAAACCTCAACTGTTGAGGTTACTGTTAAATGTATTCATCCATTGTGCAATTTACCTAGAGATACGATACTCTATGATTATAAACAGTAACCGCACGCGCACTGTATTGCGACATTTATCTCTTGTACATCTCCTAAGCTATAATAATACCCCTCTTTTTTACAAATAATACCTCTGTTTGATACAGTTTGATAGAAGTATCCATGAAGTGTCTATAATACTCCTTATTTCAGGTTGACAAGTCACAGAAGAACACATTCCTTGCCGATGCCCGTAGTGCAACCTGTCTCTCCTGGTACCAGGTCTCTAACCAGTAAGTCTCGCAACTTTGGTACTCGTTCCTTAGTTCGACACTCTAGAGCTTAAACCTTAAGTTGTTGTAAGTTGTCGAACTATAGTACGTGACTCACATCTTCCTTGCTTTTAACAAACTAATGGAACTTGTTACTTATTTACTTTGTTACTTATCCGATAGTGACGATCCCCAGGTGTTCCCATGAGTGTTGTAATTGTAAAGTCTTAAGAAAAGTGAGCCAACTCAGCAAAAAGCATTACCATCCACCAGCTCTTCTATATAAGCGCATTTAGCAGCACACAACACACAGAGCACTTATATGAGATAACAAGTGCAGTATAATACACTGTAGGTCACTATCTCTATTACTGGTGTAACAGCTGTGCGGGTTATTGCTGTAATAACTGTACTATTGTACACGCCATATGTCAGGGGAGAGGGGGCGTGGTGTGTGGTGCACCGTTTATTGGGTGTAACCACGCCGTTATATATCGATTAAGTAATAACCTGGGGTCTGTCTGTTGTACATATTTTACATTCTGCAGCTTATCATATTTGAATACCTTTACTCATATTTGAATACCTTTACTCATGGAACTACAGTGCCCGTGTATCACTTTTAGATGTAGTACTAAATAATTACAAACTGGGGATCTGGTTTCGTCATAGTGAAATAAGGGTTATTTTGTACCCCTTTTTGCCATGCAAACAATACAAGTCATGAGTGTCTTCGTTGCAAAAACGTAATTAGTGTTTGTTCACATATTATTACGTAATCAGCCGAGGGGGGGGGGGGGGGGGGTGGTTTCCAAATGATTACGCTAGTGTAATTTTGACAAAATAGCTATGTAGGGGGGGGGGGTTAAAAATTGGCCAAAAAATGATTACGTAATATGTGAACGACCCCTTATTAATATAAACGTGACTCATAGTTCATCATAAATAACAAATAACATAAAACACCCCCAGATAGTCCCAGTACAGCGATAAGAACAATAACGAAGAGTAACAGTTTAGAATCCCCGCTCTCCCCCTCCTCATTTGATGAGACTCACGCGGGTCGCGGACTATCATTACTGCAACTACCTGATATACAGACTATGAGACACGAGATGAAGGTTGGTAGTGTGTAATATTGTGAAATATAAAGAGTCTCACTTGAAAAGTTAATTAATCTTTGCTAGTCTTGTCTCCTGTAGTCTGTTTGTATCTATCTATTCCATGTTGACACGGTATCCAGAGTTAACACTGCTACTAGAGTTAACAGAGTATATAATTACAGAGCAGAGTGTCGGAATTATCAGCAACATTGATAAAGGAGTTCCAGTATAGAGGAGATGCGGATCATAGCAAGGAGGTTAAAAAGGCTTTTGTTAGCGCTTTCCTTGCAGCGGAAGAAAAGGTGTGTGTAAATTTATGCTTTATTTCGTGATGAAATATTAGTTTTATAGGACCTTCCAATTTCAGACTGTTATTCTTCAATTTCAATGGATCGAGTATTTAATTTAGTAGTTCGTCAACTTGTAGTTGTTAAATTCACAAATATTTTCAGAAATCAAAAGGCCAGCTGTCGAGCAGACAGAAAAATTTGATTCCAATATTTTGTAACGAAGAAATCCCACCTACTGAAATACTAGTCCTTCTCACCCAGTGTTGGTTAACATATGTATCTTGTTTTAATCTTTCAATGTGTTAATCGGGCTGACGTCACATACCTCAAATTATATGTTACATATTTGTGTTGAAACTAGTAATAGGTGCAAGATATAAGGAGCTTTATGTTGCGATTAGATATTTCCGAATACTATTACTAATCACTATTTCTATTTTCAAGCAACAGCAACCAGATAATAATTTTAGGGCGTCCACGGACGCCTGGACGCCCTCAATAGCCGCCTCTGATAAAGCTTTATTCATGTGTAGCTAGCTCCCTCTAGTTTCGTTTTAGTTCTCATATCTACAATTTACATTCCACTATTTCAGTGTTGAATGGATTTCTGAACGACTCGCCACATACAGCAGAACTACTAAAGCACTACATGTACATGCTTTGTCGACCTTGCCTCGACAATTAACAGGTATAGTAGGATCTGATGACTCCACAGTTAGAAATAAGATCGGAAATCCGAAATGGGTGAAAGGTGGGGTTTAGCTGTACTATTTACGTACGGCGCGAAGACATTTTGATGTGTAAATGATAATTTGTGTAAGCGCGAACACGCGCGTTCATTGCGAAAATATAATGTGGTGGAAATAAAACAGCCGCTACTAGAAATATGCCAATTATTTATGCGTGTTCTCTTTTGTAGAACTTAGAAGCCTAACAGTTTAAAAGCTAATCACCGCGGGAAAACTGAGCCTGTTTGCTTTTCACGATTAACCCTTATTCTGTTACCATTATATTTAAAGACAATCCTTTTAAGTTGTTTGATAACCCGAACCTATCAATTCCAGGATAACTGCTGGTGGGTCAACTAACATGCCACACTTCCGCGGTCCTATGAATCTTAATTCTCGTTATTTAACAAATAAGACTGGGCGAGCTGATTGATTCATATTGGATTGCCGAAGAAACTGTATCAGAACTTTCCTGTCAAAAATTTAATTTAATTTGATGGTTTATAGATATGTTGTGATTTTTAGATAATAGTGAATGCAGGACATCACTGAGATGAAAATGAATCAGTAAAAGATCACCAGCTGAAGCTTTGGTTACTTTTTAAGTTAAATAACGATACTTCGCCAGTCTACTACCATGTAATAATTTAGGGCTCGTTATGTCAGCATAGGGTGATGGGGGTTTGTGAATTTGCAGGAACGCTGTTTTTTTTCTTCATTGCACATGATTATGTTAAATTTGCTGATAGATGAGGAAGAGAGGGTCGATATGTAGTATGCTGACGTAATATGTAAGCGATCCATTTTGAAATTTTTAAGGATTTCAATTTTATGCGTGAAAATTTCCTTAATTTGATTTAAACCTATAAATTTGAAAACTAAGATGGTTTTTAAGGAAATTCGTGAACATTTTAATCGATTCCGATGGATCAAGATTGATGTTTAAGTTGTTATTAGGTTTTAAATTATACGTCATACTTTCCCTGATTGATTTGTGTGTAAATTTTGCATTAAACCTTGATACATGTTTCTTGTTGTACGTTCATTTGTGTTTGATCCTATAAATGTAGATATTAAATGTTAATGTTTTTATTTTCGTATGAAATGGTTGCTAAATAAAATTACTGACGTTTACTTTATCTCAATTAAAAACGATGAAATTTTAGATCGGTAGAACCTCTATGGGAGCGATCACATAATATGACGTCAGCACTCAGCAGCCGAGGGGAGAGGGGGGTTTTGAAATGCTGACGGAGCCTTGCTGACGTCAGCAAATATACGTGAAAATTGTTGTTTCTAATCAATTTTATAAACAATAAAACTTCGCTAATTTCCCTATATATTTATATTAGGGGAACTCAGTTTGTCAACTCTGTTGACAAACTGTTCAAATTAGTCACACTAATTTTCCCTGCATACACACACACCCCCCCCCCCCCCCCTCCCTTGTCTAGTACATTTTAGACTCTTTCTCCAAAAATCTGACTAAACTGGCACCTCGTATCTTCTATATAGATGGCGTATGACATGACTGAGGTGCTGGAAGTTTGATTTCTGTCGGAGGAAGCTCACTGCAGAAATAAGAAAGCTTAACAAAACGAAAATTCATATTTTCCAAATTCTGTCGCATTTTCAAATATGAAAATTTCTGAACACAAATTTGACAGATTGGATGGACTTTTTGACCAGAGACCTGGAAGTCAAAATCCCGAATGAAATCGAAAAATCACATTCTCCCATTTCTAGTTTTTGAAGATGAAATTTTCAGGACCGAAATTTTACAGTTTTGACTGAATTTATCACCCGCAATCAATTTGTCAGTCAACTATAGATCAAGATGGGGGGGTGTCACGTCCGTCTATGTCCGCTTGTCTCATAGAATCCAAAAAGGACAGGACATAGGCGGACATAGGCGGACATAGGCGGACATAGACGGACATAGGCGGACATAGGCGGACATAGGCGGACATAGGCGGACATTAATGGAAATAACATTTAGATGCTTCCTCCTCCTACTCTTCCTCCTCCTCTCCCTGGGTCTTCCTGATCTTCCTCAGTCCTCTTGCTCCTCCCCTCCTCTGTCCTCCTCCTACTCCTCCTCCTCGTCCTCAGTCCTCCTCATCAGTCCTCAACAGTCCTTCTCCTCCCCAGTCCTCCTCCTCCTCCTGAGTACTCCTCCAGGGTCCTCCTCTTCATCCTCCTCCTCTTCCTCCTCAGTCCTCCTCCTCATCCTTCTCCTCAGTCCTCCATCCTCCTCCTCAGTCTTCCCCCAGTCCCCCTCCTCCTCCTCCTATTTAGTCCTCCTCCTCCTCCTTCTCAGTCCTCCTCCTCCTGAGTCCTCCTCCTCCTCCTCCTCTTCCCTCTCAGTCATCCTCCTCAGCCATCCTCCTCAGTCCTCCTCAGTCCTCCTCCTGATCCTCAGTCCTCCTCCTCCTGGGTCCTCCTCCTCCTCTTCATCCTCCTCCTCTTCCTCCTCGGTCCTCAGTCCTCCTCCTCCTGGGTCCTCCTCCTCATCCTTCTCATCAGTCCTCCTCCTCCCCAGTCCTCTCCCAGTCCCCCTCCTTCTCCTCCTCCTATTCAGTCCTCCTCCTCAGTTCTCCTCAGTCCTCCTTCTCATTTCTCCTAAGTCCTCCTCCTGAGTCCTCCTCTTGCGTCCTCCTCCTCTTCCTTCTGAGTCCTCCTCCTCCTCCCTCTCAGTCATCCTCCTCAGTCATCCTCCTCAGTCATCCTCCTCAGCCATCCTCCTCAGCCATCCTTCTCAGCCATCCTCCTCAGTACTCTTCAGTACTCTTCAGTACTCTTCAGTCCTCAAAATGTTTGTCCGCTAATGTCCACCAATGTCCGCTAATGTCCATCAATGTCCATCCAAGTCCGCCAATGTCCGTCCGGGTCCGCCAATGTCCGTCCGAGTCCGCCAATGTCCGTCCGAGTCCGCCAATGTCCGTCCGAGTCCGCCAATGTCCGTCCGTGTCCGCCAATGTCCGTCCGAGTCCGCCAATGTCCGTCCGAGTCCGCCAATGTCCGTCCGAGTCCGCCAATGTCCGTCCGTGTCCGCCTATGTCCCAAAAAACACGTCCGTTGTCTCATAGAATCCAAAAAGGACAGGACATAGGCGGACATAGACGGACATGACACCCCCCCCCCCCCCCCCCCCCCCCCCCCCCAGATGGCATATGACACAATTGAGGTGCTGGAAGTTTGATTTCGGTCGGAGGGAGCTCACCGGCTCACGGCAGAAAGCTTAACAAAACGAAAATTCATATTTTCCAAATTCTGTCCAATTTTCAAATATGAAAATTTCTGAACACAAATTTGACAGATTAGATGGAATTTTGCCCAGAGACCAATTAGTCAGTTAATTGATGATGGCATGAAACCAAATTGAGGTACTGGAAGTCAAAATCCCGAATAAAATCGAAAAATCACATTCTCCCATTTCCAGACCCGAAATTTTACAGATTTGACTGAATTTGTCATCCACAACCAATTTTGTTATTAGTCAGTCAACTATTATAGATGGCATATGACACGATTTCATTGCAGCTGGAAATTTGATTGAGGTCTAAAGAAGTTCACTGCCAAAAGAGAAAAAGTATTCTCTGTTGATATCTGGGTTAAGGGCCGGGGATCTAGCACGTTGTATACCTCTCTCGTGCGCGATCAAAAGGGGTTGCAGCGTGTGTCCACTAACGCCCGGTTAATTGCTAAATTTTGTATTTCGACCGAGAATCGCCCAAGGTAAAGTAAGTACATACAATGCTGTTACTGGGCGACGCTCTTCCTGTCATTTCGCCAATCGCCATATCGTTATGTGTTTATGAAAACTAAGCCCGGTGGTTCCCAGGTAAACAATGCTAACACTCACCAAACGGTTTTGTTTCACAGAATATCTTCGTTTGTGAATTATCAAGCTTCTTGTTGCCTTTATTTCGAAAGCTTTTAGCTCTCAACCACTGGTTTGTTTTCACTAACACCTGAAATATACAGTGACTATTAGTATTAGGTATAATGAACTGATTTTGTTAAGTTTATTATGGTTTATAATAGCTATTGAAATTTCATGTAAAACGGATTTGGGATTAGGAAAATGAGATTATATTTTATACCCACTTGTTGCATTATCCATCCGTCACTCCCAACCATCCTAAGTTGTACACATTTCACCTCAGCGTCTTGAACTTCACTGCCGATGAAGACTGTTTCCTTTCCGCCCGTGTTAAAAGCCATCTTGAGATAAATTTCAGAAGTGACCTGTGTATCGCCTGCTCCAAGAAGAGTAAGGTAGATTTTACTAGAAGTTCCAGCGTGATAGTAGACTTCTTTAGGAGCGGTGTGGATAGTCACTGTGTAAACTGAAATGAACACCAGATGTTGGGGGCGTTCACATATTACGTAATCACTTTTTGGACAATTTTTACCCCCGCCCCCTCCCCCCTCCGTAATCAGTTTTACACATATAGCTGTTGTATCAAAATTACACTAGCGTAATCATTTCGAAACCCCCCTCCCCCTTCGGCTGATTACGTAATATGTGAACGACCCCTTGCTACTCTTTTAAAATTGAAGTATTGGGATTCAGACTATAGTGACCTTCTAGAATTTTAAAATCTGTACAATTCAAATTTACATTCTGATCAGTTTGGAGGTTGCGTACTGAGAACACCTCTGTAACATTTTGTTTAAAACTGGGATCAATTTCTTGAGTGTCGTACTATACTACTTACCGACCAAGTCTTGAATACTGTAGTCCACACAAGAACCACAACCACAGAACTCAGGTCCCTCTCCACATAAACCCTGTTCGTTGCAGCACCCACGCACAGCACCCTGGGTGTGTTGTGAGGGAAATTCAGTAACCTAGTAACCAACAAGTAACATAGTGACCTTTATACAGTTACCAACAGAGAACTTAGTAACCTAGTAACCAGTTGGTAAAGTTAGCAACCTAGTAACCAGCAAGCAGAACTGAAAGTGAAACATAATGTGCTAATATTATGATAACAATATGTTTGCTTACATCAGTGAGACGAGGATAAGGGTCGCACTGTCCTGCTACGTTATTTATTGGAAATGTTTCTCCACATCTCCCATCGTCTCTCCATTTGTTTTCCAATTCCATCCCTTCTTGCAGTGCTGAAGTATGTACAAATATTTGGATTCTGCGCTTATTTCACTGTTTTGGGTACTTGAAAACTATAGCTCATGCATGGAAAAATACTAGAAATAAGATTTAAAGCTTACCAAAGATTACAAGATGTTGAAGCAGAAGAGGTCCAAGTATGGCGGATTGTATTAACCAAGCCATTTATACATCTACTGTGTAATGTCTAATGTGTAATTTCAATTAATTAAGATATATTTAGAGACGCAAGCAGGAAGGTAGATATAACATATAGCCTATGTAGAATGTTAAATTAACATGTAATGTCTATATATTATTTGACCAAAACCCATAATCATGGGTAGAGTGTACCGCTGCCAGTGTCTCTCTTTTCCAAACAAAAGGAAATGATATTAATTTGAGGAACCGTCCGCTAATGCAAATTGATACCGAGAATGAAATCGGTCGCTCGCTTTTTCAAATCAATAAGCTTTATCACAATTCGTAAGCCGTGATCGAATGGAAAAAGCGAGCGACCGATTTCATTCTCGGTATCAATTTGCATTAGCGGACGGTTCCTCAAATTAATATCATTTCCTTTTGTTTGGAAAAGAGAGACACTGGCAGCGGTACACTCTACCCATGATTATGGGTTTTGGTCAAATATCATCTCTTTTTGATTATAATGTCAGGATAATTTACACAATCGAAACTTCATTAACAAGGAGGTAATTCCGACGATTTCGAAATTCTGCCTTTGAAAACGTTTCCTTGTGTTTAGTTAGGTATATCTGTCGATAACCGACTGAATATGGCACTTTTTACTCATTCAAGTTGGCATTAAATTCATATATAATGCCATTTAAATATCGTGGAAAGCAGAATATATTCGAAATCACGAATGAGCAAAATTCTCACCTTTCGCACGTGCAAACTTTGAGCGGACGTTGCGTGCGCATACAATATTGAATCACCGTAAATTTTTGCATAGTGGTATTTAATATATAGTTTGATAAGCATGCAAAGTTTCAGAAGATTTCAAAAAGAACTTGGATCACAACGGGACTCCAAAGTTGGTAAAAATCGTGAAAATAACAATTTTTAGTGATTTTAGCTATTTTAAATCAATTTGGGCGTGTCCCCACGTGTGCAACTTTTCGATTTTTAACTTTAAAACTAGCCTATAACACAATTTACACCTTTAAGAAGCAAAATTGAGCTCCACAACCCAAGGGATGACCCAACACCAGAGAATACTAATTCACAACTTTTGTGTTTTTATAAAATTATTCTTCAAAAAAGCACTAACTTCAATAGCAAATATCTTTATGAAGGAGCAAGGTAGGAAACTATTCCGGTAGATTTTCGGAATGCTTGAACAATTATCTAAGATGAAAATGTCCTCAGATTTTGAATAAAATTACTCCTTAATAGCGTAAAATCGATTTGAAAAGTTGTTACTTTGTCAAAAATCAAGTTTTTAAAACACTTAATTTGATGACGTCATCAAGTGATGATGATGACGTTAAATTATTTTTCAATACAATGTAAACTAAAGCTTAAACGATTATCTTTAAAACCTGTGGTTCGAGATGACTGTATCGTTTATACTTTCGAATCTACGGACACTTAAATGTAGGCTACAATTGACTGCAAAAAGCGTCTATATTATATAATATATATATATCTTCACGACAATCTGTTGTAAAACAGGGGTTCCAGAAAACCCACTTCACGATACTCCTGAAACATGAAATTTTTTTTACAGTCGATTTGGACAAGGTCTAGACGCCCTGCAAAGTTTCAGATCTCTAACTCAATTTTAACATGGTTTTTAAGGCACCTGAATATGGCGATTTTGGGTTTTTTACCTAATTTCGTATAACATGCTGGCGCGTATTTTGCGCAAATTTCTTAAAAACCTCCATATAACTATTTCTTATTCCTGTCATCTTTAACATTGAATTAGAATGTTTTGAACTTAAATGTACCTGCTGATCTACTTTCGATGAGTCTTAATGCCTGGAAATCAATAAAGGGGATATAATAGTATAGGGGGTAAATAGTATTGTGAATATAAGGGCGACGGTAATGCTTGCCAGCATTGTGATCTAAAACGTGGCTGCGAATTTACTGGTTACTGGTTCACCCAATCCATGTGCTTTCGCGCCACTGCGGGCGCGCTTGTTTCACAAGGCGGACATTACCTGTTTGCACGTGCGTTTAATGACCTTGCAAATGGATTTAATGACATTGCACGTGGGTTTAATGATGCATTGCACCTGCGTTTAATGCAAAACGACTCCATATACAAAGTCAATTTCAAACAAAATGTGTAAAGATTGGAGCTCTTAGCTAATAGTAATAAGAACACAGAAATAGCGAAACAAAGAAAAATCCGAAATAGTGACATGTACTTGTTTAACGGGTGATAGTCGTAAAATATTTGTTCCAAATATATAAATCCAAGACCGTCGACGAGTCCAACTCGGTGCGCGTCTTGGTAGGTACTATTACTAGTACTAGGTTATAAACCTACAACTACAAGTACTTGTCCATTGTCAAGTAGTTGTCCATTTGGGCTTTAAGAGACCTCATAACCATATTTTTAATGGGAAGCAACCCCTATTAGACTGGCTTTGTCTTCGTAACAAGCAAGCTAGGATGTTTTTTAGGATAATGTCACATTAGCCTGACAATAGAAGAATAGAGTACCCTAAGGCTAAAGAGAATACTTAGTTGAATTACAATACCAAAGAAGAAGATGAGACTTATTCAAAGTATGCTGTCTTGCATGGTGAACATGTAACATCCTAGATAGATACCAAGACGGGATATCTTTGACACCCCTTTTGATCGGCCACAAAAGGCTCTCTCTCGCCGGCCGGCCGGCCGGAGTGCACGAGAGAGGTATACAACGTGTAGCAGGGATATCTCACCTGGGGACCCCAGGCTATTATGTTCATAAACATAACAAAAGGGGTCGTTCACATATTACGTAATCAGCCGAGGGGGAGGGGGTTCCCAATTGATTACAGTTGATTCTGCGGGGGGGGGGGTTGGCTGTTGATTACGTAATCAACATTTTATTTTTTACCCTCTAGAATAATAACAGTTTGACAATATTTTAATTCAAATTCCACGCAATTTCATTCTGATAGTGATAAAATTTAGGAATCGATCAGGTATCCAGCTGCTAAAGCTTAAGTAGTTGGGACTTGGGAAGGTGCTTGGCCGGATATCATAACAATGATTTCGGCTCATAATGATCAGGGTAGCATAAAACGTAGAGAAAAGTGTTTTCCAGGGAAAAAATTCAAAAAGGGGGGTCAGGACACCGAAATGATTACGTAATTTTGCTGTCAGGAGGGGGGGTGGGGTCTTGATTACAGTTGATTACGGGGGAGGGGGAAATCTCTAAGATATTGATTACGTAATATGTGAACGACCTTAAAAACACGTGAATAGCAGGCCATGAATAATTATTAGTTAATTTTCTGATATAATTGAGCCTAATCGAGGCAGGATATAGTCATAGATTTAATACCAAAGCCGTGCCGAGTTTTATTTTAAAAATTAATCTCCGAAATGGACTCAATTATGGTAAATTGCAGATGGCAAATACACACGTGGGGGCATATAAATTATAGAAAGTTGGCAGGAAAATTGGACTAAAGATAATGTCTATTATATAATATGCTATAGAAACGTAATTACTACGAGTGGCTATGTTTTAATACTTTAATATACATCTGAAAATATTATTCTGAAATGGTCTAAATTATAGTAAATTGCAGGTGGCAAATAGCACGTGGGGACATATAAAAGCTGGTAGGAACATTGGACTAAAGATAATATCTGTAGAAAAGTAGTTACTAAGATAATTATTAGAGGCCAAATTGATGGACTTTTTGGCCTAACTGAGAATGGTATGAGTTCAAATTGAAGTACTAGTGGAAGTCAAAATCTGGGACGAAGTTTTGATTTAGGGAACCCCCGAACCCAGGTCGATTATATTTTTAAATGGGACAGAAATATCTCAGTTTGATGATTGTCCAGATGCTTCCTTCGGTAATTCAGCTTTCATGAATAGCTCAGGGTGTCCCAGCTCAATTGTGTCAATGTGTCTTGTGTCATCTACAGTGAACTCACTAACACGGGTTTAAGGATGATGAAGTAAAGAATGAAGAGGAAGACTTTGAAGAACGTGTAACCCAATCATGAAAACCAGACGATTTCTGTTGCAACACAAGTTTCCAATGTTCTGAGCTTGAACTTGTTCGTATTTTGCGCATGTTTTGATTTGGCTGATGAGCTCTGTATTACTATTAAGAAACTACACTACCTTACAAGACATATTTATAACGTACGAAATGTGGCGGTTTTCCGAAAATTTCGCCATATTTTCGGACCGCCAAAATTTCGGTCGTCGTAATAGAATCCGTCGCATTATCTTTTAGCTTATTTCAATGACTGTGCCTTCACTGCTTTATTTTGTTTCTAAAAAGTAATATCAAGTAAAATAAATAAATAAATTCTGGCATCTTGGGACAAATTATCACCACACCAATGACGAATTGAATGTCAAGCAATACAGTTTAAATTTGCATTAAAATACATGTATGTGCTAACATGAAAGTCTTACAGTCTTAATACAGACTAAGTTTGAACATGATTTTACCGAATATCAGAAATTTCCTTACTGCTTACTGTCACAAAAAATGATGAAAAATACCCTTATTTTCTGTGACGTCCGAAATTTGACGGTTTTTGTTCAATTTCGCCATATTTTCGGACCGCCAAAATTTCGGTCGTCGCAAATTAGGCCGCCATAAATATGTCTTGTAAGGTATAACAAGTAATATTTCTTCTTATTCTGACCAAAAGCTGATTGAATTAAATTTATAGCGATTGGGTCATGAGAACGCATTTTCTAATTTTTCTAATAAGTATTAAGTATAACCGAATATATTAATGTTACCGAATAATATAATAACAAAGCAAATTTAACACTTGAAGAATCAGTTGACCGATAATGAACGTGTATGAGACGACATCTCTGGATCGATACGGGAGAAGCTCCCTCGCCCCAATCAGAGAAGATAAAGAATTGGAGGGACTCAAAAAGAAGGTCAGATATTATGGGCATGCTCTTTTTGAGGCAAACATATATTTGCATTATTTATTAGTTTGACAACTGTTTAACTAATAATTGAAGTGTCATTGTTACAAGTTGACCTATTTTTGTAAATTCACGTTCAATCAAGTTTTACTTTTAGTTATCGACTAAGTCTAACAGTTACAAACAAGCTCATCGTTTTAGGTTGAGTTCGAAGAAAAACTTGCAGAATTGGAAGACAACCTATCTTGGAGAAAGCTGGCAAAGTGTTTGAGATACAGCTCAGTGCTCGTTAACTTTTTGTTTATTGTGAGTGTTTTCAGTTTCAGTCTCTTGCTACCAGAGAGCTGGCAAGCGTGCCTGGCGAGTTTATATCACAACACTGACCTAACAAATAACAAATTACAATTATATTATTTGTATACAAATAGATATTGTTATAATTTGCATTAGTGACCGTTTTCTTTCACTGCAGGTACTAGCATTGGCAGTGATGGTGTCCTCTTTGCTAATAATTAGTGAGATTCGTGTCTTCATACCCACCTTAGAGGTAAAGTGTAACACAAATGTAACATTTTAGAGGTAAAGTGTAACACAAATGTAACATTTTAGAGGTAAAGTGTAACAAAAATGTAACATTTTAGAGGTAAAGTGTAACACAAATGTAACATTTTAGAGGTAAAGTGTAACACAAATGTAACATTTTAGAGGTAAAGTGTAACACAAATGTAACATTTTAGAGGTATAGTGTAACACAAACACATCGTTTAACTGAAAAAAAGCTTTTAATACAGATCTACCATGGTAAGAATGGGTGTGTTATACATGTACATTAGAAAACTAAAGACGTTTTAAATAATTGTGATAAAAATTAGAAATATTGCAGGATTATGTGCTACTGGCGGTGGGGGCGGTGTTCACAATTGGAGCTGTGATACTGTGCGTCAGCTCTCTTGGTCTCTACGGAGCTATGAAACCTAACGTTTGCGTGCTCACTCTAGTGAGTTGCTCCTAGTTAGGTCCTAGTTAGTTTCAAGTTACTGTGTGTTCCTTGTGAGTTCATTCCTAGTTAGTTCACTCTAGAACTGTTTGTTTGTAGTTGGAGATTCAAAGTTATATCACAGTCTTTAATGTATGTCTTTATTTGAATATGCATAGCCCATAGGTAATTATTGTAAGACAAAAAGCTACGGCAATCCATGTAAATGTCAATCTAAACAATATCCTAACTATTCAGTACCTAGTAGCAGTTATTCCTGCATTGGTCGGCGAACTGGCGTTCTGTTCCATTGCTTGGTTCCGGCAAGGTATCCATTACAATTTTATAACTTTCTCTTAAGTTACATCCGGCCATTTTACTGATACCACGACATTATAAACGTTAACACGACTTTCTGCGAAACCGTAAAAGGTATACTGTTAGACGGTTACTTCTAGTAAATATAACGACCATGTTGATTTGATATCTAACCTGCCCCAGCGACACTGAAGAAGTTACTAGATGACCTTATGAAGACACTGTTCGCCCACTACGGAGATAGGGCAGAAAGTCTGGGACTAACAGCTACTCTGATACTGGACGCAGTACAGATCTGGGGAGGTTGCTGTGGGAACAGTACCGTCTCAGACTGGGGTGATTTGGAGGTGGCTACTTTCTGGGCTAATTCTACTAATGTAAGGAAGTTCATTTTTATTGAGATTTAGAGTACGAATAGGACCCGATCGGTCTGGGCTTTTGGCTTCCGGACCGGAAAAAGCCAGATCATATCAATCTATTTTCCGGTTTGCAGTATTTTGCCGGGCAGCAGTCACTGGTTGATATGTTGATCTGATGTATGAGCAGCAAGCAGAACTAGAAACGAGCTGGAATAAAATCAAAACGTATGCTTTAAGAATTCACGACGCCTTGCCTAGCACACATTTGATTAGAGATTGTCCTAGAAATAAAACCAAAGACCCAGCTCTCACAAGTTTGTGGCGTCGATAAGACTAAGCATAATGCCCATAGTTTTTCTAATGACATAATGGCCTGTGTTTTAATCCTTGGTATAAGGGGAGTTAGCAACGGGTTTGCTTACCACAATAAAGGAGGAAGCCTCTGCTTGCAATGCTCATGAATAAATCATTGTTTTGTCATTGGTCTTGGTACCTGCTCCGACTCATTTCTAAACAAGGGTCTTTATTAAAGTTCTAACTTAAAGACCTGTTTAAAGACACTTTACATTTGCGGACAGATTACAAGCTACCATGAATTCAGCCGGATATCCATTATCCCGTTGGTTCCTAAGTTCGACCTTTTTGGAACTGTTAACTACTGTAGTATGTTCTAGTAGAACTTCTACATGTACAGGGTGTTTCAAACGTCTTGCTAAGATGTACTTTTTGAATAACTTTTTATCCATTTGTCTAAACTTCATTCTTTAAAAGGTTATTGGTAGTTCAAAGGTTTAATGGTGACTTCTAAATGTTTTACGTTACCATGGACACGGAATACGGATGTGTGAGTAATGATGGGTGGTTACCTAGTCTAAGCTCCTACTATTGGACCCTAGGATCCGAATCAAAGGACCCAGCATGTAACCTGACATCAGATCTAGAGACCTGCTACTGGGCCCTGAGATCCGATCCAAAAGACCTGGCATGTAGATTGTGGAATGTGGGTGACATGTTACTTGATTTATAATTATCCGAGACCGGGGTTAGAACAACTGAGAATGAGCATTAACCGTAAGCCAGTGAGTAACGGGCAGTGCAACCCATCGTTATGTGCCTCTTAGATACACGATCATCCAGGGACAGGGGAGACAGACTCAAAAGGATTTTACTTTTAATGTTTAATTGATTAACCAGAGGGAATTGAGATGAGCAATTTGAGGCGTCAATGACATGATATGTATTTTAAGTGGTCGGATTTTTTGACACAAATTGTCTTACAGTGTGAGAGGTTGCCCATCCGCATCGTCCACTTCAATTATTCAAAATATCTATCCAACCAAACCCCATCACTGAGTCACGTGACTTGACTCCATGTCTGTTATTGGCCCTTATTAGATAGGAGGCTGAGTACTATGCTCCATATTCATGACAACCAGGTTTTGTTCGAGACATGATTTTCTCCGGTAACATGGCACTGCATCTATTGATTGGTTTAATAAAAAAGTCATCTTTGAGCACTTGTCTTCTGGGCATTGAAATGAATTCAATTCAATTGTTTAACTTGCTAATTTATCAACAAGAATTTCGCCGCGGTTAAACCACTGACCACGCACGATCAATTTTCCCTATCATGTACTTGTACCATTATTATTAATTCTTTTGAGTGAAAAGTGTGACTGGAAAAAAGTGCACCATATTTACAATTACATACTACGTTTTTTATAAATGAGTGGGATTCGTGCATTGTAAAAATTGACGATTTATTTGACCAATGCAGCGCCGCGCATCAACAATAAATGAATCCAGAAAATTGCGGAAAATAACTTTGCGAAGGAGGAATTTCACTGTAAGTAATTAACACATGGCTAGCGTCGCGCGCAGCATAACAGACGCTTCCTATACGTACATCAACATGCACTTAATTATACTTATAGGGGAGTGGTCTATATTGCGAAGGAGCAGACTTTTGTCGTCACCGCAGGTCCATCGGGCCACCTCATATATCCAAACCCGATTACTTATTCCGTCCCTACGATATTTTTGCCTTCGGCAAGAGTAAGGAAAAAATTTCACTGGTTAATTAACTAGTATGTTAACTGTTAACGAATTCCTCCAGAAACCATCAGAGTACCCGGACAGTTGTTGTAACAAGACGACAATAACCGACAGTACTGTAGACACCACACTTCCCATACTGGACAGCTACTTCCACAACTGTTCACAGAACACTGTTGCGAACTTCTTACCTGACTACTTCAACAACAAGGTCATTAAACTATCTGAGAATTAGACTATCTGAAAAAATAAGTAGAATCTTAGAAGTTTAATTTTCAGACTCAGTGAACTTTAGAATAGTTGCGGTAGAAAGTCAGGTCATGATACAGAGATAATAATTGGTTAAAGTTTCCGTGTTTGGGGGTAGGGAGGCTTTGCACTAATAACGATTAAAATATTAATTAATATTAATTAGTTATAGTATATATATTAATAATAATATATAACCATCTCCAGGGTTGCCACGAAGAAATAACCGGAACATTAAAGATATACACTAACTTGGTTACCATCGTACTCTTCGTTCTAGCGATCGCTCAAATTATCGTTATATTTGTAAACACAGTCCTCTTCTTCCGAAAGCACCCTAAAGCTAAGATGAGGATGAAGATGAAGGTTAAACGACTGAAAAGTAAGACAGTTCACAGGCAAATTAATGCCAAGGATTTTTTATGATCAGATGACATTATGGCAGACTTCAAATCAGTTTTAATAAATGTTTGAAAAATAATTTTAATGCTGATGTTGATAATCATGAATACGGAAGAATAGATATTTTACTAAATATATCTTTATATGATGCATCTTAGACGAGATTGTGTCAGGTTGATCGTTGGTTGATCAGGATTGAATTTTTAAATTTTTAATTTGTATAATATGTATAAACATATTGAAAATTGAAACTCGAGTATTTTCAAGGTGAATGTTGAAAACCCAGGTAAAAATATAAAATTGCAACTAAATTGACATTTTATCTATCAAATAAAAGCTACAGGTGTTAATAAATCATAAGTTTTTTTCTGTTTATGCTGCTAACAAGTTACAAAATTAGTCAAAACATCCAAATGCAAAAATGAGTCACGGAAACCAATAATGTTCATGCAACTTTATTCGAAATTGAGGATCAGGTCTTTTTAAATGTTCAAATGACCTGATCAAATTTTGAACGGTAACACTAACTATCTATGTTCTCATGCACAAATTTCTCGATTATTAGTACCTACTACCTAGCATGCGCAAATGTGACAAAATCTAAAATGAGGCCTTATAGACCAATTTAACCTAACAATTAATGATTCAAGTTTAAATGTTTGATTAAACAGTTGGAGAAATTAATCTGTCCAACTTATCGCTAACTAACGTCTTAACGAACAATTTGATACTCTTATTAATAATAACATTTTGAAATCGATAGGACATTTCTGCTTGGTCAACAAAAAGCACTTTAACAATGTTTAAGCAATTAAATTACGTTACTCTAAAAGTTACAGAGTTTTGTGCAACGACCGCAGAAATGTCCTGTATCGTATATTTGAAACGGGATGACAGCATTACACGACGCTTCGTTAGTTTTATCATAAAATAAACTTACTACTCTACTAGTGAACATTGAAATAGAGACCTGAGGCGTCCAATTGAATAAAAACTCGTTTATCGAAAATATTCTTAAAATCTGAAGGAACAACCATTTGGCTTTCTACTACTGTTTTTGGTAGAGACCGGGGGAAATTGTTGGAACCAAGCTGATTATAATTTATAGGTGGTTTGTGTTCTAGGTCTCTATTTCAAATGCAACAACTATATAAGGAGTCGTTCACATATTTCGTAATCACTGAGGGGGAGGGAGGGGGTTTCTAATTGATTGATTATTGTCATTGATTATGCTAGTGTAATATTTTTAGCACAATAGCTATCTCTAAAACTGATTACGGAGGGGAGAAGTTAAAAATTGTCCAAAACGTGATTACGTAATATGTGAACAACCCCTAATTACCTATCAAACTGGGTGGATAGGAAACAGAATCAGATACTGATTCATATCAATAATATGTTTCCAGAATCTGCCTACTGAATAAGAGTCTGTTCCAGTCTCTAAAATAAGCAATGATCTCAAATATACAACAGCTAGAAGTTAGTCACTGTTCTAGACATTAGTACTACTACTATAATAATTGTTCTAGTAGCGCTGTAGTTAGTACTACTACTATAATAATTGTTCTAGTAGCGCTGTAGTTAGTACTACTACTATAATAATTGTTCTAGTAGCGCTGTAGTTAGTACCACTACTATAATAATTGTTCTAGTAGCGCTGTAGTTAGTTCTACTACTATAATAATTGTTCTAGTAGCGCTGTAGTTAGTACTACTACTATAATAACAGTTCTAGTAGCGCTGTAGTTAGTACTACTACAATAATAATTGTTATAATAGCGCTGTAGTTAGTACTACTACTATAATAATTGTTCTAGTAGCGATGTAGTTAGTACTACTACTATAATAATTGTTCTAGTAGCACTGTAGTTAGTACTACTACTATAATAATTGTTCTATTAGCGCTGTAGTTAGTACTACTACTATAATAATTGTTATAATAGCGCTGTAGTTAGTACTACTACTATAATAATTGTTCTAGTAGCGCTGTAGTTAGTACTACTACTATAATAATTGTTCTAGTAGCGCTGTAGTTAGTACTACTACTATAATAATTGTTCTAGTAGCGATGTAGTTAGTACTACTACTATAATAATTGTTCTAGTAGCACTGTAGTTAGTACTACTACTATAATAATTGTTCTAGTAGCACTGTAGTTCTAGTACTACTACTATGATAACAGTTCTAGTAGCGATGTAGTTAGTACAACTACTATAATAATTGTTATAATAGCGCTGTAGTTAGTACTACTACTATAATAATTGTTCTAGTAGCGCTGTAGTTAGTACTACTACTATAATAATTGTTCTAGTAGCGCTGTAGTTAGTACCACTACTATAATAATTGTTCTAGTAGCGCTGTAGTTAGTACTACTACTATAATAATTGTTATAATAGCGCTGTAGTTAGTACTACTACTATAATAATTGTTCTAGTAGCGCTGTAGTTAGTACTACTACTATAATAATTGTTCTAGTAGCGCTGTAGTTAGTACTACTACTATAATAATTGTTATAATAGCGCTGTAGTTAGTACTACTACTATAATAATTGTCGACTGACTCTACCCTCTCTACTCCCTCTAGTCTCTACATTGTCTCTCGTGTTGAGGTGACCAGTTTGCTCACTACTTTATTATCATGGGGTAATCCTGCTAAAAGGGATGTTCAGGAGTAGAATCCGGGGGAATCAGGGCATTCTCCAAAGTTCAGAAGCTGGTGCCTTTTTCTGATCTGCAAAATAACAAAATAAGACCATGTATTGCCCATTGGAAAGACGTAAGTCACGACGAAGGAAAGGGAAACGGACATGGAAACTGATGGGAGACGGTCAAGGCTACTTGTTTCTGTACTCACCACTTGCCAAGGCTTGATGAAACCGTGTGTAGGAATGTGGAGAATCTGGGGCATATCATCGTAGGCGTGTCCCAGCACCATCCCTATCATAAGGTACCTGGAGGAACGAGCTAGTTTAAGAAGTTGACAACAACTATAGATTAGCACTTAATAACCCGCCAGTAAAAAGGCGTGGTATACTCTCGTATGAAGAAAATTCTTGTTAGACCAGCGACCACTGAGTATATCATGCCTTTTCTAATCTTATTTAATGAAAAGTTAAAGCAGATAAGAACGCACTGACCTCTCTCCTAAAGAAAGGCTGGGGAGGCAGGAGCAAGAGCGGTCCCGTCTTACAAGCAGAGTAGCGTTTCCCAGGGCGGTTTGCGGAGGGTTCCCTCTCACTATATACTCAACAGTGCTGCTGTACCAGTCACAGATACCTGGCGGATGTCAACTGTTAAATGTTTGGCACAATAAATGGAAAAAATAAGTAGCCATATTCGTCATCTTGATGTCAATTTCACAGTGTAGACTGTAGAACGGTGCATTACAGTGCACTACAGTGCATTACAGCGTAGAACAGTGTATTTAAATGTATTCTGGGTAAAATTATCTTTATCCCGGTTGTTGCGACAAGTAAAAATGCTCTTATTAGGGAAAGGAGATTACTCGACGTTTCAATGTAACTACATCGTATTCATGATCTAAAAACAAGTGTTAAAAAATTCAAAACGTAAAAAACATATATCTGAGGCAAAATTTGTGTACATAAATTTATTTTTAATCAATCAACTTTATCCAAAAATTCGATACAAAAAAGTCATAACAAAATTCATAACAAAATTAGTTTATACGACGACAAACTTTTATAGTAAATACTGTACACTCCTAAAACTACTACTAAATATACTACACATGATACAAAAGCATGGAGTGCTACAACGGTGAACAGGTGCATGATGTGAAGTGTGTAGGTATGTATCTAGTGTGGAGTGAAAATGGCGGGAATCCTACTGACCAATGAGAAGTGTGAAACGTGGGAGCCTAATATGGTTTGATTGATGTTATAAGGGTTAGTGTGTTGAATAGGAGGCGGAAGTGTGCGTGTGTGAGATGTGGTCCCTGTACTCAGAAAGTAAACAAAACCTATAAATATCACTAAATATCACTACATATGTGTAGACAATCCCCTGTCTGTAAAGTATAAAATATGTTACACCCTGTTTATTATGTACTTGTTACTAAAAAACGTTTGATAGTTTCTAACTCATCTCTCTTGTTAATGTTAGGTTTGAACTTCAAAATAAGCATTGCTTCTGCAATCTTTCTTCTAGCTGTGTTGCTTTCTGTTTTTAAAATCTCAAATTCTAAATTGGGTTCTGACCCCCTATGTAAACTGTTATAATGAATAGCAAAAGCTTGACTTGTGTTAGAAGGAGTTAAAGGAAATTTAGCATATCTTAGGTGCTCTCCGAGCCTATCATGTGCCCTCCTGCACGTCTCACCAATATAAATATTATTACAGATTTTACAGGTAATCTTATACACAACGTTCTTCACCTCACAATCTTTATCTAAATAGGGAGGATAACAGAACAGTGCTTAAGTTAGATTTTATCTCAGACAGTATCAGTAACAGAATTAGGAATCATTTTAAACAGAACAATTTACCTATTAAAGTTATATTTTCCCCAGCTAGAAAACTAAGAAATATTGTGTGCAATAACAGACCGTATGATAAGAGAACCTGTATTATTAACTCCTGTAAAATTTGTCCTTTATTAATAACTGAAAATAAAGATTGTGAGGTGAAGAACGTTGTGTATAAGATTACCTGTAAAATCGGTAATAATATTTATATTGGTGAGACGTGCAGGAGGGCACATGATAGGCTCGGAGAGCACCTAAGATAAGCTAAATTTCCTTTAACTCCTTCTAACACAAGTCAAGCTTTTGCTATTCATTATAACAGTTTACATAGGGGGTCAGAACCCAATTTAGAATTTGAGATTTTAAAAACAGAAAGCAACACAGCTAGAAGAAAGATTGCAGAAGCAATGCTTATTTTGAAGTTCAAACCTAACATTAACAAGAGAGATGAGTTAGAAACTATCAAACGTTTTTTAGTAACAAGTACATAATAAACAGGGTGTAACATATTTTATACTTTACAGACAGGGGATTGTCTACACATATGTAGTGATATTTAGTGATATTTATAGGTTTTGTTTACTTTCTGAGTACAGGGACCACATCTCACACACGCACACTTCCGCCTCCTATTCAACACACTAACCCTTATAACATCAATCAAACCATATTAGGCTCCCACGTTTCACACTTCTCATTGGTCAGTAGGATTCCCGCCATTTTCACTCCACACTAGATACATACCTACACACTTCACATCATGCACCTGTTCACCGTTGTAGCACTCCATGCTTCTGTATCATGTGTAGTATATTTAGTAGTAGTTTTAGGAGTGTACAGTATTTACTATAAAAGTTTGTCGTCGTATAAACTAATTTTGTTATGAATTTTGTTATGACTTTTTTGTATCGAATTTTTGGATAAAGTTGATTGATTAAAAATAAATTTATGTACACAAATTTTGCCTCAGATATATGTTTTTTACGTTTTGAATTTTTTAACACTTGTTTTTAGATCATGAATACGATGTAGTTACATTGAAACGTCGAGTAATCTCCTTTCCCTAATAAGAGCATTTTTACTTGTCGCAACAACCGGGATAAAGATAATTTTACCCAGAATACATTACAACAATGCGACTCATAAATAATACTCCAATCCGGATTTTACAGTGTATTTAAACTCACCTAACGACTTGTAAAACCGTTTGCTCCATATCAGCTCCTTTACCTTTACTCTGGCCGCTGAAATAAATAATATTTTAATCATTGAACTGAATAAGCCTGTAGAAGGGATTAGGGAAATAATAGCTTCAGTGTTCCTCAATCTACTTAAATTAAAAATTTTCAGTAACTCACGCAAATTTAACCCTAATAAAATGGCTGCCAAAACGTATATTATTGCTCAGTTGTAAGGGACACAATTAAACTGTACTATATTTCACTTACATAGTGTGATTGCATATTACTCAACTATAAACACCTATTAATCAAGACACACTGATCGAAGTTTGCCACGATATCAGTATTATTAGTATGTGTTTATTGTCGGTAGTTTTTCAGTTTTTGGCAATTAAATGTAAGCCGAATACAACCTCGTAAAAATCACAGCCTTCAAACGATTAATGAAACCTCGACAAAGTAGCTCCATTCAATACAGCTCATCACAAAAGAAAACAACTAAACATGAAAATACGAGGTCCAGTTAATTTTGGAGTGGAGAAGGTGGACTCAACAATACACCGTAATATGGCTCTTAAACTACAGGGAGGGCAACTGATTGGGGCTAACTCAGTGATACTCGCTTACAACAGTCCTGTACTTGATGACGTCATCACGGGCCAACAGAGAAATATTGTTGAAATGAGTAGGTTAGTAAGAGGTTGTTGAAGTGAACAGTTATCTGAATTGCAGTTGCTTATTTTGGCCGTAATTACTCATGATCTCATCCTTGTGATTGTGATATTTAAAACTTATGACGTCATAATTCAAAGTCAGAAAACTCACCAACAATGATTTCCATATTGTATACTTAATAACTGAGAATGAAAGTGTCACCCTCAGTTTAACTGACTACCCACTGAGTTACGAATCAGTCTATCAGTTCAGAAGGGTTCTGTATGGCGGAGAGGTTGAAATGGACGACACGAACTTTAGAGAATTGCACCTTCTAGCTACCATTCTACAGGTAGGAGTCAATAATAACCGCTTGTAATTGAACTATTGAAGATTTAAAGTGTTCATAAAACTGCACTTTATCCTATTACAAAACTTATTTCTGAATGTTGTAATGTTATGGGCTATAGGTGGAATGGTTACGAGAAAACTGCAAGGAATACTTCAAAGACGTGGTGAGAAATGCTGAAAATTTCGGTTCGCTTAGCAAAGTGGTGGACGAAGCGTTATTTGCGAGCGAGGTCTCAGAAAACTCAGAACTAGTGGAGATAATATCAGATAAACTAAGAGATATGAACCCAGATCAAGTACACGACTTCCTGAGAAGTTTCATGGCAGATTGGAGTAGCCTCTCCACAGAGCAGCTGAAATTTGCGATAAAGGTGTCAGAGGAGGGGGAGATATCGAACTTATTGAGGATCCTGAAGTATAACATCGAAGTAACCGGGGTATTTGATGAGACCTCCAGATTCATATTACAGAATATTGATGTGTCTAAGTGTTTGAGAGAGAATGCTAAACTTTATAATGAGATATTTGGGATGTTAGTAGATGCTGGGCTTGACTCGACCATATGTTACAAGGGGCAAACTAGCAAGGTTCAGGAGATATTCGATTACATTTTCCGACCTTGCACTAAATTCTGATCATTAAATATATGCTTGCTGATTAGACAGTATAGTTGGCCCCTAGACTTGATTAATTATTTAGCGATGTTCATCGGAACTATGTCATGTTAAGTGAAAATACCACACAAATATAAACTGATATTGACTTACCAAAATTGTTTTTGCAGTATGATTCCTGTATAGCCAATCTTGGACAGTGTGGACAACCTGTAATATTGATTAATGTGATTACTATAATCGCTAATGACAACCAACGCCCGAACGCCGTATATTGATAATTGATTCATCACTCAAAAACTTTGGTTATATAACAAAATTGATTAGATTACGAGAAATATTAGCGAGAAATTGTGCATAACCGCATGGAACTAGCTACATAATCGAGGGCGCGCGCGCGCGTGTTGAGTCAAGTGGTGCGCGCGTATCGTCCCACTGCAATCATTGTATAGGAACCCGCGCGTTACTGAATTTACATATCGAGTGGTACAAAAGAATCGTTTTCAGAGGCTGACAGCCAAAATCTAGAAAGCTTCAAATGGGGTGAGATCCAAGATTAAACGTTCCTGAACTAACCAGCTCGTCGTCCAGATATTTTCACGAAGCTGGAAACCAGCTCACAGCTGAAAGTGTACGGACATTTGTCTCTCCGACAATTAGATCGACGTCGTACACAAATCTTGGGATGTCTTCCTTGAGGGCAGGTAACCAACTAGAGGTAATTAAGAGTAATTAAGAGTAATTGGGGGTAACTAGAGGTAATTTAATTGAGTTGGAGATATCACCAGAATGATTTTTCAGTTATTTTTACACTCGGTCGCTTGTCAAGGCATGTACAGGAGAATTTTCTTTGTAATGAAATTATGTACCACTTTGTGCAACAATTTGAAAGTTGATCGACAAACAAGATCAATTTTAATTGGATCACAATTAATTATTTAAAGGCGACTTTTAAAATTCTGTACTCACCGGGCAGGGGTTGAACTCGTCATCTGAAATACAGGAGTTATTGACGGTGACGTAATAAAGGCCTCCTCAGTCCTCGTGGACCCCTCAATGCGTTGTGTCACAGGGGGGGGGGGGTGGATTATGCCGTGTTTAAGCCCTTTTAACGAAAAATCATCCAAATTTATTTAATTAACAGATAAATTTATGCGTTTCTCAAAGTTGAAGCGAAAAATTCTTTAGGGGTAGAAAAAGCTGCCACAATATATACAGTACGACTTATCAAAAATAGAAAAATCTGATTTTTTTTTAATTTGTTAAAGCCTCAATTGTCAATATCAAGTCTCAATGACCGAGTTTTACCAACTTTTAAAACCAACCAAATTCTTTGCTGGGTCCGATTTACTGTTTTTATATACGTTTATTTTACGTTTTCATATTGCGCTGAATTGCCAACAGGGCCATTTCCCGTTAACTCAATTACAACTTTGATTTGACAAGTTGTGTTTAATACTTGCTTGCCCATACTCAACAATTATACCCACGGGACTAAATCTAGCTAGACTTGTACTTACAGTTGCAGTTTCTGGTTTCAGTGCTCATTTTTCACCTCTAATTTGTAAATTCCTTTGATACTTGATATTGTTGGAAAATCTTAGGGACTTCTAAAACAGTTTTCAAAGGGCTGAAGTAGCATCATTACATACGTATCAGATTTTAAATAAGTTTTGAGTACCAATTCTAAGCCCAAGAATAAATAATAAAATGGCGGCTAATCTTATCGGACCTAATAATAACTGCTAATAATAGCTGAACATGACCTCCCAACTTTATCTTGAAAAGAACTAGCGCAGACAGCTACAGAGTGACAGTTTTCAGATTGGACTGTCATGATTCTAGCCCATAAAAACGGAGTAATTTGATAATCTGTCAAACTTGGTATTCGGGTTGAAAAACGGAACGTCCATAAACGGAATACTCCCCTTAGATTTGATAACAATTACAGTCGCACCTTTAAAATCCCAATTCCACTATATTGTTAGGTTTCTCTCTTAGAAATTCGGTATTCTGTAGAATTGGAAAATTTCAGCATCTTGTTGGGGGATAATTAAATTTTTAAATTTCATAAATTACATATCAAGATCTGGTTTTAAAAAGAGGGCAAAATCATTTAAGGTCCAATTTTTTAAAACACTAAGTTTTAAAATTTACGGATAACTTAGCTAGATCATAATTTCGAGAGCTTGGTGAGATTTGAGAATGAACCGCATGGATGATCGTTACGCCGGCGTGATATTATGTAAAAACTTCTCAATACTTCAATACTTAGGGAATGTTTTCGTTACATAATTGATATTTAATTTACGAGTGGCAGTCCGGCAGTCTCGAGGGGGAGGGGGGCATAAAATTGCATAAAATGGAGACTTTTTCTATGGAAAAAATGGAAAAACCCTTGAGTAATTCTCCATTTTATGCCATTTTACGCCATTGCCCCCCCCCCCCCCCCCCCCCCCAGCAGTCCCTGTTTGATGCTTTACACTTACAGATTAGCAGGGTGGTATAACAAAATAATTTAAAAGGTTAGAAAGACTAAAAATATAAACCTACGACGCAGGAAGGACGCTTCTTACAGGGCAATACAAGGCAGTTCTCTAACTTCACCGACTCACACTTGTAGCCCTTACTGCACCTGTGACCCTGAAACAGGCCAAATATTACAAATCACTAAATTACAACCCTAATGAATTAGTGAATGAAATAGCCCTGAACCTAGAGCGCAGTCACCCTGAACCCCGAACCTCAGCCAAGATAACAACGCTAAAAACATTAACAATCTGGTCTGGAATTTTATCAAATATTTCCGTTATATCGTTACAATAGTTTAACAGGTACAAGTGTCTCGTTTACTAGCCCAAAGTACGTGTCTGTTATCACAAACAGTTATATTTATGAAGGAGTAAGTGTGTCTGTTATTACAAACCTGGCAGACATCGCGCTCAGCAGCACCACATGCGCTGGCTGGTACGTAGACATTAGTAGGAGGGAGGCAGCCATCTTCTGCAATAAGACAACAGGTAGTGTCACAGGAACCATGGCAGTACTTGGTGGAGATGTGGGCAGGGTTACAGATGGGGTTGTATTGGGCTGCTACACAGGACGGGTACACGGCTGGTACGCCGCTCTCTGCGGGGGAGGAGGGTTACTGATAACACGTTAGGTGGGGTTATTGACATTTCACCAGAATAGAAACACCTGTTTTGGTAGGGTTTATTTGATAAGGTTTAAATTAGGCAGGGCCGTCCTGTTTAAGTAAATATGAGTCAAAACACCTGTGGGCAGTTCTGTAGAATGGACAAGACCTTGTTCACTAAACGTTACTAATTAGGTTATAAGGGCCAGAACATTCTAAATTAGGAACATTCCAGCATTGGCCCTTCTTATCTTAATAAGCAAAGAAAGATAAGATTTATTAAATTTTGAGAAGTGGATATTGTTGCAGTCATCTGGAATGCTGAGTCCAACTAGATAATAGTTAATCTTAGTATTACAGTATAGTATTATAGTAGTATTACAGTAGTATTATAGTAGTATTACAGTAGTATTATTAGTAGTGTTATAGTAGTGTTATATTAGTATTACAGTAGTATTACAGTAGTATTATTAGTAGTGTTATAGTAGTATTACAGTAGTATTACAGTAGTATTATAGTAGTATTACAGTAGTATTATAGTAGTATTATAGTAGTATTATAGTAGTATTATAGTAGTATTACAGTAGTATTACAGTAGTATTATAGTAGTATTACAGTATAATATTACAGTAGTATTATTAGTAGTGTTATAGTAGTATTACAGTAGTATTACAGTAGTATTATAGTAGTATTATAGTAGTATTACAGTAGTATTATGATAGTATTACAGTAGTATTATAGTAGTATTATAGTAGTATTATAGTAGTATTATAGTAGTATTACAGTAGTATTACAGTAGTATTATAGTAGTATTATAGTAGTATTACAGTAGTATTACAGTAGTATTATAGTAGTGTTATAGTAGTATTATAGTAGTATTGTAGTAGTATTATAGTAGTATTATAGTCTAGTATTATAGTAGTATTATAGTAGTATTATAGTAGTATTACAGTAGTATTATGGTATATTATTATAGTATCAAATGTTGGAGTAGTTCGCTGTTTATTAGTCTCGTATTGAAATACTGATAGTTGGATAATATGCAGTTGAGAGAGACAAGGACAAATGAAACAGGAAGTTAGGAATGTAGGCAAATTTTCGGCGTCAACGCCATCTTCAGGCTCAAATTATTTGTCATATAGTAGTGTTGAAAGTATTAAAAAAGTTTTAATAATTTCAACACTACTATATAACAAATAATTTGAGCCTGAAGATGGCGTTGACGCCGAAAATTTGCCTACATTCCTAACTTCCTGAATTCTGTTTCATTTGTCCTTGTATCTCTCAACCGGATATTATCCAAAGATCCAACTATCAGTGTTATTATAGTAGCAGTATTTATATTATGACTATGAAATATGAATAGCAGTGAATTGCCACCCCCAATTACTCACCCTGGTTTGAAGTAGGTTTGAATAGCTCGCTCTTGCAGTGCTGTATGTTGTTAAACAGGAATGTGTTGTAGCAAGAGTCAATAGTCCTCCCACATACACACCTCCCCTCATCTATATCACACCCTTCGTACAGTACAGTGCAGCCGTGGTAGATATCTGGAGTTGTAGCTTAGTGTAAGTAGTTTCGTTTGCTCTGTCCAAAATTATAATAGCTCCTAATACATAGGGCCGGGGTCGTTCACATAATATTACGTAATCACTTTTTGGCCCATTTTTAACCCCCTCCCCCATCCGTAACCAGTTTCACACATAGCTATTGTGTTAAAGTGTTAAAATAACGCTAGCGTATTTATTTAGAAACCCTGTCCCTCCCCCTCAGTGATAACGTAATATGAACGACCCCATATTTAGTCGAGCACTTTGCAACGTTGGAAACTTTGTAATAATGATATAAGTAGTGTGTAACTTAGTGGTAGATATCTCAAGCAAACTTGACTATTTATCAGGTAAACTTGCTCTCTTTAAAGGATGAAGTACATTGTCGGTATCAGAGCACACAAATAAGGTAAACAATTTAAACTAATTTAGGGAGTGATAAGGATCCGGAATACTATTCACTAGAATTAACTGACATATTAATGTAATTATTATTATTATTATCATAATAATAAGAATCATGAGTTATTCCTCATTTGGCAACGAGGAAAAATAATTCGATATCTATTATCTAGTCATCTGAAAACTAATTAAATATAAATTATGTAACTAAACAAAAGCAAAACTAACAGCGGGAAAAGCGAATGAAAACTAACGCTAACAGCAAAAGCAACAACAACATTAACGTGACTTACCTTTGAACTGAAGGGATACTGGCAGTAAATGTAGGATACAAGTTACCAGAAGCAGAAGTGTTCCCATAGTAATAGTACAGACATTTCCTGTAACATTTACTGCTGCAAGTTTGTAATACCGGCCTCTAATACCGGCCTCTAATACCGGCCTCTAATACCGGCCTCTAATACCGGCCTCTAATACCGGCCTGTAATACCGGCCTGTAATACCGGCCTCTAATACCGGCCTCTAATACCGGCCTCTAATACCGGCCTCTAATACCGGCCTCTAATACCGGCCTCTAATACCGGCCTCTAATACCGGCCTCTAATACCGGCCTCTAATACCGGCCTCTAATACCGGCCTCTAATACCGGCCTCTAATACCGGCCTCTAATACCGGCCTCTAATACCGGCCTCTAATACCGGCCTCTAATACCGGCCTCTAATACCGGCCTCTAATACCAGCCTGTAATACCTCGTCACCGTGACACAAAAACTGTGTACCCTCTATTATAGTACATTACAGCTCTATTTACCAAATATTTCAGGTACATCCGCCCAATATATATAGTTACAATGTAAATCAGATTATTGCACAACAAGTGTACTTTAGGGCTAGTAAAACGTATATGTCAATATATTAAAGATTTGACAAATTTGACAAACGAACCATACTCTGTACGTGAACCATATTACTCTGTAGTCTGTATACGTGAGGGTGGAAATATGGAAACAGCTGGAACCATTTTATTTAATAGTGTTAAATGTCGGTAATCTCGTTCTTTCTTAACCTTATTTTCTGTCCGGGTTTTAAGTTCCTTATCTTTTTCTGGTCCGGAATTTGATATTTCACTGTAATCTACTGGTATTTCAAAATAGTGTAGTAGTGAGCATTAGTTACGACCGCCACCAGGCACACTTTTAATTTTCGGTTCTTCAAACAGATGTCATTCCATTTGATATTACAAACGGCACTGATATATCAAAATAAAAAAGTCGTAGTTTACAAGAAAAATTGAAGTTTTGTTTACATTAAACTATTCAACAAACAGCACATAAACTTACAAAATATTAACAAAAATATTACATTCCTAGAAAGATTTCAGGCGCTTTTAAAATTATTGGGAAGGGGCGTATAACAAAAGAGTGTGAAGTCATCTGCATTGCAGCTGATATTAGTACTTTATCGGCCCGTCAATACCTATAAAAATCACGCAAATCCAATTACGGTGACAAATTTAATATCGTTAAATGCGTTATACTTTGAAGGGTACGTCAAGTCAACATTGTAAATTAAGGATAAATGTTATTAACTTTTCTGGCAAGTATCCACGCCTTTAATTATCAATGGACTCGCAATTAGGGCACTTTTCCAGGAAAGTTATTTTCGTAACCGTTAAAATTTCAATAGAAAATTCACAAGTCGTGAGCCGTAAAATAGCACAGTTCGTTAATCATGGGGATCGCCTAACTTTTTAACAATATTTAGCCTTAAAATCCACAACAGCGTAAAGAATTTATCATAATAGGGTTACCCGAGAAAAGAATTCCTTCAACGGAAAATCTAATAAAAATTGCGTTCACTAAATATATTCAGACAGTGAAGCGTCAAACTGATATAATATTTAATACGGTCTCACACAATGACCTGGACCAACTGGCTAACATTGTCTCAAATAAACAAACAACCAGCTTACCAGGTACCAACAAACTAACTCATCAATCAGCCAAAATAGCCGACAATTTATACGAATTATCAAGAATTTAAAAACGTTTCAGGGTAGGTTTTGCGATATTTTCTGGGATCTGCGCTTAGATTTACATAGTTAATTGGGGACATCGGAATGTTTAATGCAGTTGCATACAGTCTTAAAGACTATAGTTTAAGAATTAATGAGTGAATCCGTTAACTAGTACGTGGGTTGATGTTTACATTTTTCAAATTTTAAAAGCTAATTAAAAAATAGCCGCGTAGAATGGAAAGAAATGTTGATAAAAGACGGAATGTTGGGGCCGTTGTTGCTGATCTACGTTATTTACGGGAACCATAGTAACAGTCCTATCACATGATATAGATAATGGAGAATGAGGGAAATACCAAGGAATTATAGCGGTGACTTCCATTCTAAATCAGCTTCATCCTTCATTCCTCTTGGAAACTCAATAACATTCTTCCGAAGTTTTCGTTTTTGGCAAGATCTTGGTTTGAGGTGGCATGTTATATTAGCAGAACTCAGTTAGCTATGTGTTATCAGGGCCATGAAGTAAAGTTGCGTGGTCTAGTAAACCTCTTTCAAAACATCCAAACAGAATCGTGCCAAATCGGGTGACGGTGACTTATAGGTGGGGAGCTGGAATTTTAACACAGTTATTTACCAATCAGTCGTATGTTCCGCCTCTCTACCCGGAATTAATTATATCTTAAATAAAACTCCAATTTTTTCGAGCTCGGTTTGTCGCTGACGTTTTTTACAAATTCCCCGCTTTAAAACAGAAATAGTGGTCGCAAAGCTAGCGTGCCCCTTTTTCAACAGAGTCGCCAATTGGCAAGCCTGTAACCAGTAGAGGGGTTGGTACCTCCTAAACTAAATCGAGGGGGCAATGCACCCTCTGCAACATAAAGTCTCAATTTGCCACCGACCCTCCTCATTGAGTTACATATGTCGGGAAATTTGCAACCGAACGATAATAACCCGCGTACGTTACAACCACAATTAAAATAAACTTAAAACATCGCCAAAAATCCTTTTTTGACCAGAAAACGCCATTAAGTAAACGTGAACTAGTGATCGTTGACACTGTAACCAGATTACGACGCATTAAACCAGACTTATTTGCAGTCCAATAGGGTTACGGATATATGAGTCCAACTCTAAAACAACCGAACTAATAAACAATAACCTCATCAAAGTGACAGTTGTCCTTAATAACAGCGACGCAACACATCAATAAATCAAGTTAAAACAACGATCTGTCAATATGATCAAGTAATTACGAGTAAATATCAGTAAATATCAGACGACACCTTTCACTTCAACAGTGGTTCCTAATTCTGATTCCAGTGGAGACCCCCCTCAAGATGGGAGCTGGTACAGGGTTCATCCCCTGCTCTCGTACTGCAACCATCTCCGGCAACTTTGAGTTTTTCTTCTTTATCTGGTAGATTTATAGTGAGAGAGGATAACACGTCGCGTTGGAGGTCACGTGGGGGACTGGGGGTCGTTTGATCATCGTATGATTTTATCAGCATTTTCACAGTGCCGTCATACTCATACGCGTTATTGTGATATATTATTTAATCGAAAGTTCTATATCACATTCTATATCACGTAGTAGAATGTTCTTAATTGGATGAAGTCATTGAAGCAATTTGGAATTTGCAAAGGCTATTTCTAAAACTGCACATGACACAATAGTTCCTGCCATAGTGACAGATTCTAGAACTAAAAACAGCGTCTCAAAACCCGAAACCAACCTCGGAGGTATCAATGTCGAGATAGCTCCACAGGGTGCTGGGTATGGGTTGAAGAGCTATCACCTCACACAAGAACTCCTCCAGTGCTGTGCGGCGTGACTCGATAAAGCGGGGGTGCTGGTTGTTGGCGACGATACGGCGATTGGGAAACGGTAGGTTCTTGTGCTGAAATAGGAGATGTTTTAAAAGCGACCGCGCAGGGATTATGGGTAATGGTGACGTTAATGTTAGGTGACTAGACCGTAGGGTGACTAAATCAAGCGATGGAAAACAAACTGTTACCATGTTAGGTTAGACGATATTATTATAGATGTTGTGATTTACGGTGTGATTAGAAACACTTTTTGCTCTATAAATCGTTAGCCAAAAATGTCTTCTCATTGCTCTTAACGGAACACATGATGCAGTATTCTCAAAAGTCTCTTTAAATTACATAACTAAACAGCCGTGAGTTTTTAGAGAGAATCAGGTTCAAAATGTGAATTCTGATATAAAGGTAGGGCATATTTTTTTGACACGTGACACTTGACAGTAATTAACTAATCAGCTGAACCACTATTGACCAATCCAAACCCAGATTCACAGTGACGTATCACATCTATTATCTTCAACACACATCGCATGATATAGAAATGCGTGCAATAAATGAGGGGACTATCTGTATGAGGGGACCATTTGTATCATGAGCACAGATTACCGCATCAAGGTATTAATAACTCAATAATTTAGGCTGCACAATCCCGTTGAATGATAATAATATGATTGCTCAGTTGTTCATGATTTGTACTACTACTAATTTATACTATGCGTTAGAAGAAGGTGGGTTATTTTGCTGAATAAATGAGTAATTCGCCGACGAAACTTTTCTACAGAATATTTTCGTTTAACCCTACCTTTACACTGAGTTTCTTATGTAGATCTCTGAATGTACTGTAACGTAGTTTTCTGGTGTAGTGATCTTCGTCCAACTGTGAGAGAATGCTGGTTAATTAGTTAATTATAATAATTAATCACAGCGATTAATAATTATTAATATTGACATGTTATGTTCATAACGTGTTTCATTGATCTTATCTATCTTTTCCATAAAACGGAACGTGCAGCTGTCTGCAGACTGGTCCACAAACTACTCGTGACGTCATGATGGTAAACAGATCATATGAACGGTATCTTGGATGCAATTAGTTACAATTACCATTAATTGATATGCTGGTATATCCTGTCCTGCATGACGCGCTTCTGACGACAGAAAACATTCTAACTTTGCTCCTCCTGTCCCGTTAACGTTATTAATTTATAGATTATTTTAAGATCTTACCTGTATTTGAACCTCATATTGAGTGTAAGCCTTTTCTTTCTCCGAAGTCTTAGTGTACCAACTTGGGATTCTTATACTTATCCTCATTATCCTTCTTATTGTGTCTCACATGTCAGAGTATCATTCACCTATATTATAACGACAGGGATCAGAATAACAAGACAGCACCGTAGTAGTTATATTAATTCAGCGTAATAATTGTAATACATAGACGTGATACTGGAAGAAGCAGCCCATGACGGTATATAACATCAATGTCATGACTGCATGCGGAGGCCAGAAAAACTGACTACTTGTACCTTCAGCAATCAGCAGATCGAACGGTGGTACGATTTAAGAATTTTACGATTTTAAATATCGAATGAACTCCAGCTTGATCCTCAATTTACAATAACATTTATTCTACATTTAAGAGCACTGGTTAAAAATGTAATTGTCATTTTTAATTAAATCTTGTAGTTATGTTCCTAATGATTGTTGTCTAACTTGGAACTTTAAGTACTAGGCTAGATTTTTAGTATAATTTCGTTTCAATTCCAGATCTTAAAAAAAGATTATAACCAAATAATAATGCAATTTCGATAATAAATAAATCAGCGTTCATTATATATTGTTAGATTGTCACAAGAATTGATGTCCCAACCAAGAACAAGAAATTTATTCGGCTTATCTAATAGAAATGTAAATGGATTTTAAAAACTTTAAAATATTAAAATTAATCCCGTTTGACTAAAAACTGAGCTGCAGGACCAAGTTTCACTTTGCTGAATTTAGATTTTTTAACAGCATACTTTTGTACAGTTATAACGTCTTCATTTAGCTCATATTTGCTGTGCAATGATTTTAATGATACTGCTCTGATTCTAGGCACATCCACCTCTGCTTCTGTGCCTATTGACGAATAAACTTCTTCTTTCTCTCCATCTGATTGTTCATTTTCTGAAATCACAGACAAATTAGTCACAAATTGTTTGGTGTTTGATGACTCCAGAATTTTCAAACAAGGTCCAGATATAATCAATAGCAAATTTAAAAGTTGTGATAAACAAACCCACCTTTAAATTCTTGTTTAGAAACAGCTGATAGAACAGTCGAGGATAATACACGCCTTTTCTTATTGACTCTTAAAAACTCTTTAGCGTTCCTAAAAACATTGTCAGTTTGATTTATGCTTATTGGTAACAAGAATTCATTTTTGATGATAACTTATTCCATAGAAAGCATATTGCAGAAGCATATTATATACTTTAGTCGGTAATATTATGGGGGGTCTAATTTGGTCCTTTTCGGGCCACAGAACCATATTTGTAACAGTCCATATTTTTAACACCCATAATTTTCCCACCCATAATATTACCGACTAAGGTATAGGTATTACGAATTGTGTTAAAATATTACGTAATTATCGAAAGCTGGTATTGTAGAATAAAAACCTTATTGCATCTGACTCTTCCATGAATACTTCTTTTGACTTTGCAAAAGATACCTCCTCTGGTGTTTCACTCTCACTATCTGAACTTTCATTTCCTATCGAAATATTTATGTCTTTTTTCTCATCGAGGTTTTGCTCCACCTGTAGGTCAGCGCTGTCACAATCCTGCAATTATGCACGTTAAAACTTTAAATAATACAGAATTATACAGCAACACACCTGTATAAAAAACAATGACGACAAAGAATGTTCAGGTTGAAAAAATGCTCAGGCCCAGCTGCAGCTGGTTAGGGCAGGCAAAAGTAAATAGGACTGTGCTATATGATTGAGAAATGGGAAAACCAGTCACTCCATGTTAGAGCACACTTGCTCTGAATTCTTACTCCTACCCCCATGCATCATTATATCAATTACTTTTAATTTTCTAGAGCAGGACCAGTGGATAAATATTAGATTAGTTTAGAAATTACGCCTAAAGAATGGTGTAAAATGTAAATAGAACACACCTCCACTTGACTTTGACTTGAGCTAGTTACTTCAGCCACTTGAATACTCCCATTCTCCTCGTTACAACCAGATTGGATTCTAATTCGAGCAGACCTTCGAGTAGTCATCTCTACCTGATAATGAAGAACTTAATTTCAAATCCTAAAAGGTTCAGAATATATAAAATAGGGTTTCTTTAAGTATCAGTAAATAGTAATATTAATTTCAGTCAAGTCATACACAAAACTTTGTGTGTGGTTCCCTTCGATGACAGACGAACCGTCCTAAAGAGAAACATTCTTATCTTTGTTGTCAGATGTCTCATAACATCAGAATATTGTTCTTTACTCTTATCAGCAATTTTATAATCAGCGTGTTGGAGGGTCCTGTGACATGTAATATCTGAACTTAGTATACCCACCAGATTTACAGATTAAGGACTGATTAATATACTTTTCAAATCCACATGCTCAGTGTAAAAGCATGTTCTTTATCCTCCAACCTCCAACCATATCTAATATGTTCTACAGTGTTCGTTGTTCCCTGCATATACTATAGTATCGATAACTAAGGCCAGCAACGGTTAAGGTATTATATCACACATTCTTCGCCCATGGCTCCGCTGTATTGATCATGTAGTACAGCTCCTCATTTAACCCTCACACACGATTTCTCGAGCATTCAGCTGAGTAGACCGGGGGGCTGCAATTGCATAGGTCCATCGGAACCCTTAGCAGAACGGCAACGCCGCTCACGCCATGGCTAGTGACACAGGCAAGGATCGAACCCGCAACCTCATGATTGAGCAGCATATCACGAGTAAGGCAGGTCGACTAACGAACTGCGCCACTAAGCCATAGTAGCAGACGTTTCAGATTTGTTAAAGTTTGCTAACTGTCATATCAGCCAAATCTTTTAAACTTTGTCTTGTTGTTATTGGGCTTTTAAAAAAGGGGGGGGGGGACCCCCAACCCATGTAGCTGAGACACCTCACAGCAAGTGGACCAAAGTGGCTCTTGCTTGTGAACAGTGCATCAACTACCCGCCGAAGCGGTGGGTTGGGAGTCCCCCCTGGGGTCATTTCGTCCGTAAAATTGTATACAATATAAAATAGTACAGTAAAATATCTACAAAATTTAGATAAACAAATATAGGAGACCTCAAAGCTCGTTTTCTGGGGGATGAGGTTTGAAGGAAACGTCTTGCAGTTCAAGATGCTGAAATTTTTGTTTAACTGATATGATTTTTGACTTGGCTCTTGGCTTCTTTTTTGTGGTCAGCTATCATCTCAGAGACACGATCTACAAACAAAGTGCAGAGCGGTATTATACCTCCGAAGGTTGTGAAGACTAGAGGGACAAAGGATCCTTTCTCTGACTGAAGTACTCTCTCTTCATACAAATCTTTCTTTTCTTTCTCATGATCTCTATAGATCTTATCTAGTGACCTTGATGTCAAAGAATGTTCTTTCAAAGGGTTCATACAATCCGACAACTGCAACATCAAGACGGGCTTCATCCTGGGTGTTGGTCTTCCTTGAGAATGAGCTTGGTTGGACTGTCAGGAGTGCTGGTTCTATCCTTACGTCTTTACACTTTGCTTCTCGGAGGAAGAAAGCAGCAGTGTCTCTTATGACATTGTGGCGCATGAAAACGTGTTATTGGGCTAATCACTCAATATTAAAGAATAAACCCTATATAAAACCAACCCATTTAAAAACTCAATATATTCTCTCAAATATTGGGAGAAACAAAATCACCCTTAACCTTGTGGCTCCAAGTTCAAATCTAGACTATCTATATTATCACTATCACTCAATATTCATTTTTGTTTCAATGAGTTTGAGTCTTGAGGTCAACAGAGAAAAATCTATGTTGGGTCACTGCTTTTGTAAAATATTGAAAAATGAACTGTTGTATGTACAAGTTCTGGAATTTGAAATCAACAACCATTCGTATTTATATGCTCAGGCAGACGACGTTCTATAAGTCAATTTGGACAACAACGCGACATAGCATAATTTTACAATATAGACAAAGGATCTTAGATTTTAAAACTCGTTAAAGACGCTCAATTTTTTAAGTAAATAACAACAACAACAACAACATGGCGAACCTAGCAAGCTAGAAACGAGGGGCCGATCTCCTTTTCGTGTAGCGCTCGGCCACGGTCCTTTCGGTACAGATTTCCCTGCAGCATAGTCGGGACGCTGGCCAAGGCATATGCACTCGTGTTATTTTCGCAGCTCTAATGAAAGCCACTACCATTCACACCATGGTTTGGTGAGCTGCCCTTCAGTTTTTGAGATTTTGGCCCAACTGGGTTTCGAACTCGCAACCTCCAGGCCAGTAGACAAGTAAATAACAAATAAGTAAAAATATGCGCGGCGCAGGAAAATTAAAATCTGTATAACTTTACTTTTTTCAGTTTCAGTTGCAAAAACTATTTTATTTTCGAATACGATGATTTCAATACATTGTAAATGATCTAAAACCACAAAATTATTGAGGTTTCCAATCAATGATAAAGTTTGTAGCGCGATGCACTACTTACTACTACTAACTGGGCCGCGCCGCGCATCAAATAATGTTTCTTGCAACATATCGGTAGTTAGGCAAAATCTGCAAAACCAGTAGATTGGCAAAATGCACTATTGGGCCTCGCCAAAGGTTTGAAATCGTGAATTAACAGTAGACCATTTTCAAATATTAATTTTTATCGCCCATAATTTAACTATTTTGACTCAAAAGTGCAAATGATCTCATTGTGAATGGCGCAAAACACAATTGAGGTATTCAACGTTGTATTCCCAAAGAGAGCTTTGATTAACGGAAAATCATTCAAGTAAAAAAGAGATTTTTGAAGATTTTTGAAAAAAGCTTTTCTGCTGTCCCTTTGAACAAAATTTTTGGGGTTTTGACTTGTAGGTTTATAACTTACCAGGACGTGCGCCGAGTTCAGAGTTGGACTCGTGATCGTCGACGGTCCTATTTGGTAATATTTGGAACAAATATTTACGAGTATCAACCGTTAAGTTTTGACTAAAATTTTGACCGCATGAGTGATGACAGATGAGTGACCAATCAGTGAGGTCGATGTAGTAGAGGCTCTTACGGGCATTGTCTGCTCGATACGCTAGGGACCCCAGATACACCTTACTAGACGTATTTTTGACCGTAGAATCGATTAAAAGTAGTTTTAAGATGATTGGACTGACTTTTTGGGGGTAAAATCGCAAAAAACCGATTTTTGGGCAAAAAATAGGCCAAAAAACCATGTTTTTTGATATTTTGAACAAGTTAATTTTGTTGGCATGTCGGCAAAACTTGCATGGAGATAGCTAAAACACAGCCGCACAAGATGGTTTAAAATTTGAAAAATCCCTCTATTTTTTTGGGGGTAAAAATCCAAAAAAGTGGTAAAAATTTTGACTTTTTTGCTTGAAGTTTGAATAATTTTTTGCAGTTGTATTAAATCAACCCAAAAATAGTCACATCGTGTTTGCCTAAATTTTTCCTTTCCGAGAAGTACCCACTTCATATACTTTATCGAAGTTTGAATATTGTCACTCCGCAAGCGTTTTTGCCAAATTTTCGACGCGCACTACGCGCAAAAGCATTTAGTTGTTATCAATTGGCATCCGCGCGTTCATCATAAATTTCAAACAGCTATAACTCAGCGAGATTATGTCCGTTCTAGCTCATATTTTCACACCAAATAGAAAACAATGTAATCTTATTGCTGACAAAATATGAATATAATTACTTTATTTGCCTTAGAGTAATAGACTGTCAAAGTTTAAAACGTGCATTGGTATAGCACGTGACTAATAAAGCCAAATTTATACTTCTTAACATATTATCGATTCTTAGACATCATACTATTGTGTCCAATTAGCGGTAAAGTCTTTAAACTCGTAGCAGAAAACACGTCTTTTTGCCCGTAAGAGCCTCTACTAATGAGAGTGACACAAGTCGCCATGCACCATTAAGGACTGAAAGCAGTATATATCCAGAAAAAACTTTGATGCAATGAAAATTTTGAATGTGTCCTACTGGTACTAGTAGGACATGTTCAAATTTTACCTGGGGACCTCAGGCTATCATGTTCATAAATAGTGAAACAAATTTAGTGAAACAAATTTAAAATTTTCTCCTTTATTTTACAATCATAATATAATAATATTTATAAGTCTCCGTTTTGAAAGTTTTAAATTTTAATATATTCACATTTCTATTTGTATTTAAAAGTAAGTATGTCTCGGTATTAGGTGAAGAATCCGAGAAACTTCCAGTAGTCTATGGAGTGCCGCAGGGGAGCTGTCTTGGTCCCTTACTTTTTATTATTTATATTAATGACATCCGTAACTCATCAATTATAGGAAAGTTTATACTATTTGCCGACGACACTAACATATTTATAGAAGACACATGTGTCAAAAGACTATACGAAAAAGGAAATGAAGTTCTATCATTTGTGTACAAGTATATGAAACTAAACTTATTACATATTAACATTAAGAAATGTTGTTTTATTCATTTTAAACCCTCACGGGCCAAAGAGGAAGTAGAAAATGACGAGAACATACTAACTTTAAATAATGTAGTTATTAAAAGAGTTCAAGAAGCTAAATTTCTAGGCGTTATTATTGACGACCAACTTAACTGGAAATCACATACGCAGTCACTTAACTCAAAACTTAAATGCGAAGTAGGAAAGCTGTGCAGAATACGACACATTGTCCCAAAGCAGTATTATAAGGATTTATATCATACTCTATTTGAATCACATTTAGGATTTGGAATATCTGTGTGGGGTGGTATTAGCAATAACCGACTTGAACCTATCTTTAAAACACAGAAAAAGTGTATAAGAATTCTGTTTGGGGATAGAGAAGCTTACCTAGAGAAGTTTAAAACGTGTGCCCGAACACGACCTGTTGATAAGCAAAGACTGGGGTTGGACTTTTACCAAAAAGAACACTCCAAGCCCTTGTTTAAAACCCACAGGTTGTTGACGGTCCACAATCTGTACAAGTACACTTGTCTCTTAGAACTATTCAAAATTAATAAGTTAGAGGAACCATTATCACTGTACTCATCATTTAACAGGTCACCACGACGAGAGGAT